GGGAGGATTTGAAAAGCTTACAGGGTCCCCAGAGAAGAGACTTGTCAAAACTTAGGCCAAGGGAAATGTGGTTTCTAAATATCTTAGTGCCCAGAAAGAGAGACCACAGTTAAGCTTGGTAGTTCGTTCCTGCAAACTCAGTGATTGAAAGTCTGAGTCTTGTCTTGCAAGTTCTAAGCCACCCTGAGCTATATACCAGAGCATCTCAAAATCCTTAATAAGCAAAGGGGAAACTAAGGAGGAGAAGAATGAGGGAAAGCTTAGGGAAAGGGGAGGAGAGAGATATCATTGGGGAGTCTCAAGAAATAGATAGATAGATACCTACCCATCATATGTTCAAGCGTGTAAAGGTAAAAGCTCATTGGAAAGACTGCTTTGGGGAGGAGCAACACGTACCTGTAATCCCAGCATTTGGAGGACTGGGATAGGAAGTATGTGAGTCTTTGAGTTCAAAGCGAGCCCGGGATGAGGCCATCTCAAAACAAAGATGAGGAAAAATGAGAAGGCAGAGAGGAGGAGAGAGAAGAAGAAAAGCCACACCCAGCCTGGGCTGCATAGTGATACCCTATTCCAGAATAAGATGGGGGGAAAATTAACTTTGCTTGCCTTGTGAAAAGAGTCTGAGGGTTTCACGCTTACACAGAGCTACTTGGGAAACAGTTTCTCACATTCGGCCATGCAGACACTTGGAGGACATCTGCACTATGTCCAGGGAATGCTGCAGCTACATGAAATATTAGCACACTTTGGCATTGTCCATATGAGACTGGTCTTACAGACTTGCATTCTTTAAAAGTCAAGACTTCCTGGGAGATTCCACTAAAATTTCAACAAAAGGACTAAGAAGCCAAGCATTGTATAAGCTCAGAATCCCTCTGAGAGGGCTAGAAGTGAAGTTGTGGCAATGAGGCCAACAATGAAGTGGAGACCCCCGGGAAGTACAGTTGCCAACCATATGGAGTAATTGCCTGAGAAAACCAAAGGCACCCAGCAGAGCCAGCCCAGGAGAGAGGCCATGCAAGTACCAGCTGGTGACGTCACTGGGACTGGGATGCCCAGGGTCTCTGAAACCCACTTCCTGACAGCATTGCCAGGTACTGAATGGAGGATTTAATGTTTTCTCTGCTGGGTTTGGTCTTGCGTTGTGGGCCCTAGGCTGCTCCTGGGGATGGAAATGTTTGCCCTGCCCCACTATTTTATGCTGGGACTATGTAATATACTTCTTTCTTAGTGATCAGCTAGAAGTTGCTTTGAGTGTCAGTGGAGATTTTGGACATTTTTTTTCTTTTACACTGTGTGTGTGTGTGTACCGGTGAGAAGGCTAGATAACAGCTTTCAAGAGTTAGTTCCCTCCTCCAATATAGTTCCCAATTCCCATTCAATTCTGGGAATTGACTCCAGACATCAGGCTTGGCGCCAGGCATCCATAACTTCGTAAGACATCTCAACAACCCAGACTCGAGCTTTGGAGAAGTGCTAGAATTGTTAAGGCAACGGTAACTCTTGGAGATGGACTGAAAATATTTTTGAATTATGATATGGTCATGAATGTTAAGCATCCAGGGAAGGAATATTTGGTATGAAATGCTCTCCAAAGGCTTGTTCCCCAGATAGTGGTGCTGTTGAGGGGTAGTTGGGTCACGAAGATGCTAACCTTGCAAGCAATCATCTTGTCTTCCTACTACTAAACTCCACTCAGCTCCCGGGGCCTAGTGCTCATTCCCTATCAGCCTTCACAGAATGGGGAGGGTACGTCCTGACTAAACCTTCATTTGACACCAAATCCTCTAGATCAGCTACTGGATGGTTTGCATTAAGAACAAACATGTTGCCTGATAGAAAAGACAATAGGGAATCACCTTGAACTCACTGGCACAGGAAAAGACTTTCTGAACAGAACATCATTAGTACGGGCACCAACATTAACAATTAGTAAATGGGATTTCATGAGACCGAGAAGTTTCCGTACGGCAAAGGACACTGTCATTTGGACAAAGTGGCAGTCTACAAAATGTGAGATTTTTGCCAACTGCACATCTGATAGAGGGCTGATATCCAAATAAATAAAGGACTCAAAAAAACTATCAAGAAAACAGCCCAATTTAAAAATGAGGTACAGATCTAAACAGAGACTTCTCAAAAGAGGAAACTCAAACGACTGAGAGACAAATAAATGTTCAATATCCTTAGTCATCAGGGAAGTGCAAATCAAAACTAGTTTGAGATCCATTTGAGTTCACAGGAATGACTAGGACAAGCGAAAGCTCATGCTTGCGAAGACGAGAAGTTAAGGAAACACTCATCCATTGCTGGTGGGAGCGCAAACTTGAATAGCCACTATGGAAATAAATATTGCAGTTCCTCGAGAATACAGGGATTGATCTACCTCAAGGTCCAGCTGTGCCACTCCTGGGCATATACGCAAAGGGCACTTCTTTCTACCACAGAGATGCTTGCTCAGCCATATTCACCTCTGCTCTGTTCCTGACAGCCAGATAGTGGGAAACTAGATGTCCTTCAACAGATGAATGGATAAAGAAAAATGTGGAACATTTACACAATGGAATATCACTCAGTCAAAAAGGGAAAAACTGAAATTAAGAAATTCACAGGCCAGTGGATTGAACTAGGAAAAAAAAAAAAAACATCCTTAGTGAGGTGGCTCAGAACCAGAACTGGGAAGACAGAGCCCCAACTGGTCATACTTGTCACGAAATGAAGCTCCTAGCACTAGGATTAAGTTACATCTAATTGAGATGTTGACCGAATGGGTCCCGTGGGAACCCCAGCATAATTGAGGCTATTGCTGAGATTATAGGTTGCTCTCTACAGACTGATGGCAAGGACCCATTGCTGAAGACATCACTGCACAACTCATGGAACACGAAGTCAAATGGATCCCCACATAGAGCCTTTACCCCTACTGGCTTCTGTGCAGGAAGGTACTAAACACACTACCAAAGAAGTAACATAAACACCAAGCCAGCCATAAAGCCTTTAGTCTACAATGGTGTCCTGCCTGTAAGATACACTAGTGCCGTGGTAGCACTCCACCACTGTGGGAGTAACTACCCAATATCCAGCTGGACTGAAGGCAAACTAGTAAGACACTCCATGAGATGGAACCCATACCTGACAATGCATGGGTTACCAAGGATCTGTGACTAGATAGTTCAAGAAGCCACGATAAAACTAAATATTTCTATTCTAAGTAGATGCTAGATAGATAGATAGATAGATAGATAGATAGATAGATAGATAGATAGATGATAGATAGATGCAAGCATGCATATATATACATACAGAGACATAGATACATAAATATAGATATAAAATGTAGCAATAAAATGGCTCCTAATGACATTCTGCATACTCATAGGTAATTGCCTTGCTCAGCCATCTGCAGGAAAGCTTTCTCCTGCAGCACTGGGAACAAACACAGAGACCCCCCCACCCCCAGCCAGACATTGTGCAGAGAGGGAGAGACATTGACACATTTGACCCTGAAGGGGATGTCTCTGACCAATTCCTCTTCTCAGGGTTCAGGGGACCCCACTGAAGAGGAGGCAGAAAAAGAGTGTATGAGCCAGAGATACCTAGAAAACAAGGCCTTCTAAATCAACACGATCAAAGCCTATGAATTCACAGAGACTAAGGTAGCATGCACTGGGCCTGCATGGGTCTGCACCAGTGGGGTCCTAGAGCGGGAAAAAGTGGACACATGCCCCCATTCCTAAACCAGATGCAATCTCCATTTGATAATCATTTGCAAATGAAAATTCAGGTTCCTCCAAGGGTGTTTCACTGGGGATATTCTTAAGGGTAAGCTGCGTACCCAGAAGTAGATGGCCAACAGAAACCAAACTCGACAGCATCATTGAGGGCCCCTTATCTCATGATGGCATGTCAGGGCTTTGCTTTTTATTTTAGTTTTATATTTTGTTTGTTTATTTTTTCCTCTCTTTTTTACCCTATAGGTCCTTCGGGTATTTATTACAGTTTACAAGTTAATGTTTTTATGGGATTCCTGAGTGTGCAAATGATTGGGCCTCTGCCCCTATACCCATTTCTTGGGCCTTCCCTTGGGCTCTTCTCCTTCCGTTTGACTGTTTTGTCCTATTCCAATGTGTTAGTTTTTGTTCTATATTATATTTTATTTCATTTTTTATTATTCTGTAGAGACCTTACGGGGGTTGGTGCAGATGGAGGGGAGGTGGGGAGGAACTGAAAGAGTAGAGGGAGGGGAAACCATAATCAGGATATATTATGTAACAAAAATCTATTTTCAATAAAAATGGGGGAACATATTGAGCTCACAACTTCTCCCAAACAAGGCAACATGGGCTCCAAGGGCCTGAATGTGACTTGTAACCTCTGCCCAGAAAAGTCCACATCTGCACTAAATTGTGCATCCAGTTCAATCCAGCAGAGGTTTCTGATTCCTTTGAAGAAACCCAGGCCTAGGAATAACAAACAAAACCAAATATAGACACCAGGCATGTTGTCCCATGGTGTCTACTTTGCATTTAAGCAAAAATGTGTGCTTGGCCAGGGGTGTAACTCAGCAGGGGAGCGTGTGCTCAGTGCGCTCTGGGACTTGAGCTTGATTCCAAGTACCAGAGAACAGACCATAAAATAGAAGGAAAGGACTAAAACAGGGAGGAGAGGAGGAGAGGAGAGGGGAGGGGGAGGAGAGGAGAGGGGAGAGGAGAGGAGGGGAGGAGAGGAGAAGAGGAGGTCTTTGAACTAACATCACACACTCAGCCCCCTCTGCTCCTGTCTCTTCCATGGATTCTCAGAGCATCCTGATGAAGGCTCCTGCATCCAGAATCTCAGAGCATCCTGATGAAGGCTGGGCTCCTGCATCCAGAATCTATCTCTTCTTTACTAGTTGTTGGCTCATCAAAGATGGCATCACCTGCCCTTTATAACTCACGGCTTCCCCCACACACACACACACGGAACAGCACTTAGACCCCCACAACCAGACAGACAGCACGGCACAGGCAATGTCCTTTATTATACTGTACACTTATCTTTTTCCATGAAGAGAACAACATTCAAAATAAACCCAAAGCAGGAGCAGAATTGTGCCTGATATTGAACAGTCCGTGACGTGGAGAAGAAGCGATGGAGACAATCCTATTTACACAGAAGTAGACACAGTGGGAAGAGGACAGGGACCCCACGACTTCACATTCACTAGCCAAGGCCAACCGCGCTGCCTTTGGCCAGAGCTGTGGGTACCCAGAGTTGCAAAACACAGAGCAGAGTGATGCCCTTTGCCTTCCCAATACCACCCAAGTGTCAGATTGAGAGGCCTGGACTCGACTTCTTTTCAGATACCAAGTCTTTCTGGCATTATCAGAAAAAAAAAATATCCTAGAAAGAGGAGCTACCAGACATAAAGAAATATCAAAGCTCTGTAGGCCAGAATTCTCTGTTTCTAAGCCCAATAGATGGTCAATTATGGGGTCACTTTGGGAAGCTTCTGCCGTGACACGCTCTCTCCATTGTAACTTCAGCACAAGCGTGTTTTTGTGCTTCATTGTGGTTTACGCTTTTAATAGAATGTGTCCTAATTCTGTTATTCCTAATCTTCAGACAACCCCCCTCCTGAGACCCAAAGACGTCAAGCTCCTCTCTCAAGCCACAGCAAACTCGCTGCAGACCCCTGGTTATCAACTCTAAATGCTATGCTGCCTCTGCCACACCAAACACCCACTCTGACCATTTCCATTTCCCCTCTGCTGTTCTCAAAAGAAATGAACGAACGTATGTAGTGAGCTTCATGGGGCAGAAATGACTTCTTTGGTAAGAGCATGTCAGTCTTACATTGCCAGATCTAGAAAGTCTAGACTGGATGATTGTCCCGCAGGGGACTGCCTCCTGCCTGGGCAGGAGCACCCTCTGAAAAATTAAGGCAGCGTAGGGTCCTTTGCCGAGCAGGGTATCTGGGGTGAGCTGGTATCCCCTTTTCTGTGCTTTCTTACTTGACTCTGGAGTGAAGACTGACAGAAAGAGGTTAAATAACATTAATGTTCTTAAACAAACATCTCACAGCTCACAGAAAATAATTCTCTAAAAATACGATGAAATATCAAAAGTGTCAAGGGTCATATACAGTACTCAGGAGCACACTGGTCCTGGGTAAACCCCACTATTTAAAAAAAAAAAGTCACAAAAAAGAAACCAAGCATTACTTATGATAAAGCATCAACCCCCATCTGTTAAGTGGAAAGGTGGGTGCGGTGACCTCCTAGCACCTCCATGAGAACCTCCAGGGACTTTCGGGGTGCTCCACTCTACCTCCCCCTTCAGAGCACCTGGACTTGGAACCAAGAACCCCTTGTCCCAGTCTCACGAGCCAGCTTTGCCACAGAGCAGCACCTGTGCTTTAGTTTGGGGTTCATTCAGCTAGCACCACATCTCAACTTCACCCCAGGGACAATGTCTGCAGGAGGAGGGACCACGCCGATGGCAATGAGAGGATGGCGGGCCAAGGCTGACTTCGGGCACCCCGGCTTTCTGGGTGTGCATACTTGTGACAGCTAAGGTGGACTCGCTTCTCAGGGCCCCTGTTCAAAGGCTGACAAATGGCATCAAAGAAAAGGACAATAGCTCTCAGGGAGCCAGGAGGGCAAGATGAGTAACATTCTTCTGTCCTTTTCCCTCCTTAGTAGGGACTCTGTGTACTCTGTGTTTGGGGACAGCCCAGGGTAGGATGCACAGAGAGTTTCCTGGTGCACTGGGCTGTGAAGACAGGATGGGAATAGAGGGTCCGCCCTGGTCCCTCGGGAGTTGATACTGTGAGTAAGAGAGACCCTGTTTTCTCACCAGGGTGATGGGGAGATGGGAGATAGGAAGCAGCCTTCCTTTCCCATGGGGCAGCGGGGAAGGCAGTGTGGGCGAAAGTGTTTTGTTTAAATGATGATAAAATGTCTTTAAAGGTAACCCGTGGAAAGGAATTGCTACTCCTAAGAGACGTTGAGATTATCTGCTCACAGGGCTCTGACTTGCACCTATAACTCAGGCGCATGGGAGAGCCTCCCCCTTCCCAGCGCTCCAAGACATTTGCCACTGGGGCTGAGCCTTGAGCTGAGCTGGCCTTCTAACATGGAAGAATCAAAAGTCCTTGGATTTCCTCTAAGGAATGACTCAAGGACCCTGACTCAGCACAGAATATTGTGTCTTCAGAGTAAAACATCTTCCCATCCCCCGCTGGCCTCACCCGACCTTTTGCATACTCCAATGGGACATGTTAGTTTTTCTGTGTGCCTCCTATAAGGCCCCAGTGAGCTCAGTGACTTCATTTTTCCTTTTCATCACACACACCTGCAGCACGGAATAATACTATCACAATGGCAAGTTATGGTTCTAAATTTCAAATAGGGTCATAGGAGACTCAAACCATAAACACAAATCCCGAAGAAATGCCATGGATTTATCAAGCCATTCTTTCCCGCAATGAGCCAGAACTAACCACCAGAGGGCACTAAGTGAACCTAGAAATTTTCTGACCCCCACCAACCTTTCCTTTCCAGTTAGAATATCCTCCCAGAACATGAGGAGCTGTGCTGTGATGTGGTGGGTCCCATTGTGCCCCACAAGGTGTCAACTCTAGTCAATGAAGAAACATGTCTTTTTCAAAGCCAATAGATCCCCCTGCTCAGGACCTCTTCCTGTCTGCGGGGTTGCCAGGAGGAGGCTTAGGAAGTGTCTTTGGACCATAAAGAACCATGGCCACCTATCAGGCTGCCCTCAGGCACCCACCTGACCCCACAGGACAGAGATCTCTGCTATGCCTCAATCCCCAGGAAAGCCCCTGGAATCACCCATGTGTCACACAGAGCATGACCAGTGTGTGGCCTTGTCAAGGGTGATTCATCTAGCTGCCTCTACCACCTTTCTGGAGTATCTCACTTGGTGGAACTTCCTCATTGGTTGTCCGGCTACATCCTTCCCGTCATGTCAGTTTGGGACGATCCAAACAGCAGGAGCTAAAGTAATATTCTGGAATATACCCAAACCAACCTCAGATTAGCTAGGTAACGAAGTCGGAGGGTTTCTGCTGAAAAGCCCGGCGGCATCTACCAGTCACATTTTAGGTGCCAAATAAACCCAGCTCCCGCACAGAGGCTCAGAAACCAGAGTGGTGCTAGGTGGAAAGAGGGGGGTAACCTTGGCTCCCACACAAACCCCATCAGGTTTTGGTTGGGCTTTTGGTATCTAGCCAAAAGCCAATCTTCTCTTGGTCTCGATGAACCGAAGGTTTCTTCTATGGTCTGAAGTATAAACAAATTCAGGAAGGGGTTCTGCCAGAGCCATGGACCTCAGTTCAGGCGTACACTGCGACTGCCCTCCAGCCAAAGTTCCAGAAGCCATGCCCCATCCCTCCTCTCATCCTCCTCCTCGAGGCTAACTAGAGTTCTCCACACTCGCTGCCTCCAGGCCCGATGAACAGAAGGTGAACAAAACCGGAGTCACGAAATCATTGGTAACTGGGGAAACAAGAGGGATGGGAAGGGTTCTTCCCGGAGAGGAATCCCACGGCGGCGTCCACACGGGGGGGGGGGGGGGGGGGGGGGGGGGGCGGGGGGGGGGGGGGGGGGGGGGGGGGGGGGGGGGGGGGTGAAGAAGATGCCCTTGACCCGGATGTTGACCCATGGGTTCCTCCTCCTCGGGGTCAGGCTCAGATAGCCAGCCAGTGCCGCAGCTGCAATGATAGACAACAGGACCAATATGGTTGAAGACAGCCAGCGGGGACTTGGGGGACAGGGGCCAGCTGGTTGGAGCAACAAGAAGCAAAGAGAAGACAAAACAAACAGCCTCCTTCCCAGCACAAACCCAGAACATCATCCTTAGCTGGTACTGAGACTGTATGCAAATGAACCCCCCCAAAAGAGGGGGCTCAGCAGGCACCACCCACATCCATGGGGCCAGAAGCTTTAATTAATGCCCTGAAGCTGTGCCTTCAAGATTAGAAAATGCTCAGCTTAGTTTGGTGACGCTAATGTGACAACTCAGAGGTAGTCTAGAACAGGAACATCCCAGCACAGGTATCCCAGGACTAGGAAGCAGCAGCCGCAGCAGGCTGACTGGGCACCCACCACCTTAGCCCCTAGGCGGGAGCTGGCCAAACACCCAGCTCTTCCCAGCTGTGATCCTGCTTGGGCACTGCACGGAGAACAACCAGAACCCACCCTGCCCTGCCCGGCCACCCCCCAGGTCAGTTCGTCATCTACCTGGAACTGCCTCACGTCTCTCTGGGCCACCAGGTGGTGCTCATTCTCCGGCGTGATGCCATAGGCCACTCTCTGTGAAGAAGGGGGACAGGGGTGGGTCTCAGTGGCCCGAACCTCAATCTCAGATGTGACCAAAGAGCTCAGATGTGAGGTCTTCGCTTTACAAAGTAAGAACTCTTGGAAACACTACCACCACTAGTTTATAAGGCAAAATAAAAGTTATGATGTAACTTCAGGATAAAAGGTATTTCTGTTACGTGCATGCGCGCGTGTGTGTGTGTGTGTGTGTGTGTGTGTGTGTGTGTGTGTGTGTGTATACGATGCATACGTGTAAAGGAAAATGAATCATTTCAGAAAGCCCTGGTTTAGGCTCACCATATTATTATAATTAGAAAAATGGCAGTGGGTTCAGACAAGGAGAGACGGGATACCTGGGGACATAGCACACATTAAAAGGGGATGGGCATGGCTGAGCTTTGCCTTCTCCTGGGAGCAGCTGAAACAGCCATAGCACTGGCCAGCAGCATGCAAAAAGCACCTCCCATAGGCCAGATTCTTTACTTAGCATCCAAGTGTCTTTCTCTTCCAAGGTACACAGTATTATTCTCAGGTTACAGATGTGGAAACTGAGGCTCAGGATGGATCACCACTCGGTAAATGAGGTGAGTATGCCGACCCTAAGTATTCTCTTATCTCCCTCACCCCAACAAGCACGCCACCTCCCCCCTCATCCCACAGTAGCCATCCCAGAGCTCACCTCCCAAAGGGAGCCCCGAATGCTGAAGAACTTGTAGATGACATAGGCGGGTACCAGGATCATGGATGAGAGGGCGATGCCCCACCCGACCCAGTTGGCCCAGGGAGGATAGACGTAGTCATCATAGGTAAGCGGCTTGAAGTTGATGATACTGACCACCACAACAAACTGGAGGGAAGGATGGGGGCAGGGGGGAGAGATGGGTGCGGGAGAAACAGAGGAAAGAGAGAGGAGGGAAGAGAGAAGAGAGTGGAAGGGATAGAAACAAAACGAGATGAACATAGGAGGAATGGGAAAGAAGCAATCAAGAGGCGAGCGATAGCGAAGATTCAAGATGGCAAAGACAATAGGGGAAGAAGACAAAGAAGAAGAAACAAAAGTGACTTTGGAGCCAGCACAACAGCATGTGGGGGGTTGTTCCTGTCTGAAGACTCACTAAGGCAGATTGTCCCCCACCCCTACTAAGGAGTCCTGCCCACGTGACCCGGCTTCTAGATTCCAGAACCTCCTCCCCTAGGAAATAAATATGCCCACCCCACCCCCCAACCTGGACTCAGCAACCCTTCTATAGGTACTCCAGCCACACCCTACCCACCAGGAGGAAGGCGGGGCTGACGAACTTCCAACACAGTCTCCAGTACAGGCCTGGCTTAAAGCCCATCATCTGTTGGATGTCATTGCTGAACCTGTCCACACCTGTGGGCACAGAGGGCAATCCTGTCACCGAGAGTTCACAGATGTAGGACCGGGGCCTCCCCTGAAGCCATTACATGATGTTCTGGCAGAGGGTAGGGCAGGTGACAAGAGACTGACACCTTGGAATGCAGGAGACCTGGTGGGCACCTTGCTTATGGCAAACATGAGACAGGACAAATTCTGGGACAGAATTCCCTTTCAGGTGCCACTCTGATCATCTTACAAGAGGGAAGCCAGAGCTCAGAGAAGGAGGACTTGACCCAGGCTGAGGAGCCAGGTGCCTTGACCCCAGGCTGGCTCTGTCCCCTTCCTGTGAAAACAGTGGGTCTATCCATACATGCACACACATGACACCCCTCAACCATAATCTGAAAGAGACCATTGGACGCTCACACTGCAACCTCTTCCAGAAAGAATATGAACAGGATTCACCTACTACTGTCACAGAAGGGGAAGTGAACAATTGTGACACATTTGACAATTGATATCACAGTCCAGCTGCAGAAGAGTTCAGGGAATAAAATACAGGGAATCTATTTAAGTTTGAATTTCAGACCCATAATGAAAAAATCAGTATCCGGAGATTCTATGCAGTATTTGGGTCATGCTGATCTAAAAATGTGCGTTCATCGTTTATCTGAAGTTCAAGGTTAACTAATTGGGCATCCTGTTTTGTTTGCTCAGTCTGATAACTGCACTGTCAGGTGTGGTGGCAGTGATCTGCAGCTCACGACTGGTTCTCTTTCAGATGCTGGCCCCCATTCTCTCCCAGGCCTTGCAGCCCCAGTGAGCTAAGGACTGGAGAGACTTAATACCTATTACATGAGCTGCTCTCTTCTGGAGATCTGGGTGTCTGTCCTGGACATGAAAAGCCCTTTTCCTTCTCCAGGTAGACAGACTCCAGAAGCTCTGAGGACAAAGGTTTGGGACATCCTCACTTACCATAAAACCAGGAAACTCCGATAGCTTCCATAAGCACAGCAAACAGAATGGAGGTGCCTGCCGCGAAGGTATCCAGCAGAGTCAGGACATAAATCCCTCCCTGGGGCACAGAGAGAAAGGGCTTGAGCCAGTCCTGTTATTAACAGTCACCGACTGTCCTTCCTAGCTCATAAATCCTACCTGTTCCCATTCCCACGTGCTCAGAGCCCATTTACAAACACGGGTGTCAGGGCTGTGACTAAATGGGTTTGCGTTCTAACTTAGGGCTCTCGGAGCTGCTGGCTTAAAGACTCATGCCTGATAAACAGCATGGTAAGCTTCCAGGGGACCTTTGCAGGCCCCAGGTCAATCCGTAGTAAATAAAAGTGCCTGGAAGCCATCAGCCCCAGATGTAGCGGGAGGCAACCGTGTTAGAACACGAGGTTCAGGATAGTAGAACCCCTGTGCTCAGCCCACACCCAGCCCAGCCCAGTTAACAAAGCTGAGGACATAAGAAGACCCAGATGGTCCCACACCCAGACTCACCTTGGTTATACAAAACATGGCCAGAAGGAAGGTACCTATGGTGACACCAAAGGTGAAGAGTTTCCGGTGTCGCTTCAGGACCTGGAAGTCGTCCGCCAGCCCTGTGATGACTGCTTCCATGCCTCCCATCTGTGGAGAACCAGGAGGGGGCAGGAGTGAAAGGCTTGCTGTAGGTTGGGATCAGCCTCAGATACATCAGGCTCTCCGGAAACTGGCAGGCCCTGCCTTCCTCCCAAGACTCCTTTCCCCCTTTTCTGCCCCAGTCTCAACCACGCTCAAGTTATATGGGATGAGTTAACTCTTGCCTGCTTCCACAATGGGTCCCTAGCCCCTGACTCACTCAGCCTGAGTGGATACTGATGAGACATAGAGAACCAAGGGATGGATATATTGCCCAGATGATCCATTTACATGCAAATAGAACCTTCAGGAAACAAGGTTTCCAGAACCTTGAACTTCTCCAGAATGGGAGTTTCATACCATAGTATATGACAAGGGTTCCTTACTGCCTTTTTTTATTATTGTTTTTATTGAGCTACATAGTTTTCTCCACTCCCCTTCTACACTCTCCCATCCTTACCGCTTTTCCAAACACCACGCAACGTGGTCACTTTAAGTACGGACTCTGAGTCTATGCCTCGTGAGCCACGGCCGTGACGGACGATAATCACACATGTCCCTTGCTCCTCTCCACTGCTCTTGGCAGACATTGTTAATCAACCTCAATCTGGGGTCTGGAATCGGCCTCAGAACTCTCCACCACACTGCTCTGGCAGACCCATCAAGTAAACCCAAAGACAGCCAGATCTGCTGGCCTGGCCAGCCCCTCCCCTAGGCATGGGAGAATGAGGGCTGGAAGCAGACACAAAAAGAGGGCAGGAACTTAATTTTGCACAAACTAAATAATAATAAAAAACCCAGGAATCTAGTAATAATAGGGTCCGAAATGTTTGTGCTGGATGTCAGTAATAAAATACAATGAATGGGAAAGCTCTGGTCACAGAACATTCTATTCATGTCCCTTCTGACTTCTGGCTCCCCGTCCACAGAAGCAGAGTGTTAGGCTGGCTTGTCTGAGGCCCAGTACAACTGGAGTTCCTGTAGGTTTCTGGTTTTGACCTAGGCTATCATTCTGAAGGAAGGCTCACTTCATTGTTCGGACTAAAACAGGACCCTTGGAAACAGACCCCAGACCGCAGTAGCCCCACAAGCTGAGGACTGGTATGGATTACAGTGGTGGAGAAGGGTGTTCTGAGAGGTGAACTCACTGAGCTGTCCAGACCCAGAGCCAGAAGCATCAAGAAGAACAGGACAGCCCAGAACGTGGATCCTGACAGAGTGGAGATGGCTTCTGGATACAGGACAAACACAAGGCCAGCTCCTGTAAGAAATATTAGGGCCTGATCAGTGATGGATGTTCAGTTGGGGCTGCACAGGGCAGGGGAGCCCCAGGCAGCCTCCAGACCCTTGGTCAGTCATGTGTGGGCAGCAGACTCAGGAACTGGGCACAGGAGATGGAGCCACAGCATTGTTGTGCTGTTGTTGAGATCTGTAATGTCCCCCAAGAGGCCCTGTGTTGAAGCGAAGCCTTGATTCCCAGTTGGTGCAATTTCCAAGTCATGGGAACTTCAAGACAATGTAGTCTTCCATTTATTGAGAAGACCCCTTTGTAGGAGATGTGGGGACCCAAGCTCCTCTTCCCTCTATCCCTTTTGCACCTTGGCCATTCAGGGTGTTCCATCATGTGGGCCCAACACCGGCCCCAAAGCAAGAATGCCAAGTTGTCACTCACTAAACCTCCAAAACTGCAAGTCAACAAACCCCATCCTCTGCATAAGTCAGTTCTCTTGTGTGTTTTGTCCATAGTGATACAAAGCAGATGAACACAGCCCGTGCATGGAACAACCAAGCAGAGAGAGCAGAAGCTTGCCTGAACAGCTACGAACCATGTGTGGGAAACCCACTTTCTACTCTGTGGGATTCTCCTCTGATTATCAGAAACTCATGATCCTCAGAGTCCATCCAAGGCTGCCCTTCCCTTGTCTCAACCTCCCTGCAGCCTGAAGAACACAGAAGGCCATAGAAAAGACCAGAGATTCAGGGTCAGGCTGACAAGAGCCAAATGCTGATACCGCTGCTCAGTAGCCCATACTGAACTTAAATCCCAAATCACTCATGTTCAAAGAGGATCTTCTGACCCTTGCCTTGCAGCTTTGTGAGAGCTCAGTGGGGGTACGCTGCAATGTCTGGAACATAGTTTGCCCCACTGAAATACATGCTCAGGCTTGCTCCCCTATATAGTACTGTGAAGAGGCTGAGAACTTTGAAGCTACAGTTAGATGTTAGTGAGACTAACCCATTTTCCAGGAGGTCTTACTCCCTAAGAGTTGGGGAATCTCATGGAGAGGGTTGTTATAAATCAAGGCTGTCCTACAAGCATGGCTCTTTTGACACACAGGCATTTCTACTTCGTCTTCTCTATAATAAGATGAACAATGTATGACCTGCACTAGAAGCCTACTGCACAACCGATCTCCACGCTCTAGGCTTCCAGAGGGGTAAGCTAACTAAAGATCTTTTGTGCATAAATCACCCGGTATGAGCACCTCATGCTGCCTCCTGCAGACCCAGCGCTATGAGGACTTCAGGAAACAGATTTGGTTCTGGTTATTAGTTAATTAGCTCAGAGACTGGTACAAAGGAGGCAGCTTAAAATGTGCTCCTCTTAGGCTGTTAGAGGAAAGTTTTGTTATATACTTAGGGGCCACAGTTGCCAGGAATGCTCATGATAGCCTCAAGGGAAAGCCCAACAGATGGACATCCAAAAACCTCCACCGCCAGCCCTCACGGGCCTCCAACCTTAGAGGCACTATGATTTAACTCGGTCCGTTTTTCTTTAGCTGGAGACAAGGGGTCTGGCCACCTACCTTCAGTGGCAACATCCTCAATCTTGACCTTATGTTCATGGGCCATGTAACCAAGGATGGAGAAGATGGCAAACCCGGAAATAAAACTGGTAACACAGTTGATGGTGCTGGTCAGCAGGGCATCCCTGGTAGAGAGAGAGAGAGGCTGCTATTGGCAGTGCAGGTCCCTCTGACTCCACCTCCACTCTGCTCATGAACCGCTGGCCAGCTGTGGAATCTTCAGTCACACCCAGTCTCAAAGGCCACCCCTTCTTTCCACTGCCCTGATGTCACATGGACCCCAGTGCCTCACGACCGCTGGGTTAGTGCCTGCTCCAGCAGTGTGGAAGCCAAGAGCCAACCACAGGCACGGGTAGACTCTTGGGGCTCAGAGTTCCTCTCCCCTTAAGTAAACTCCCCGCGGCTTACTCTGTCTCCTAGCTCCTTGTGTCGTCATTTCAGAACGTTGCTAAGATGATCCACCCTTCCTTCTTGGCTTATTTATCATGACTTCCAGTATATACTCTTGGAACAATAAAACAAGCCACTCGCTGATCCTCTGACACACAGCCTCTCTGTCTTTGTCCACGCCCTTCCTTAGGACACAGGCCATCTGTACCACACCTGCCTATCGTAACCTCAACTGTCCTCCCCAGCTTGCCTCAAATTCACCTCCAGACTCTTAATGGCAGCACCCTACTAAGGGGATGGCCATCCCACTTCCTGACCTCTCTAAAATCTCTCCTGGTGGCACACCCATCCTGTTCTTTCTTGACTCAAAGAAAGTGATTCTACCTTGATTGTTAAATGGGGTGAGAAAGTGATCCCAAATGTGTCTCACCTCTGAGGTCCTGCAGGAAGTGGCATTGGGTGCTCACTGATCCAAACTGGAAGTGGTCTCTTCTGTGCCCCATCGGCCCTGACATCTAACCTCTGACCCAGCCAGCCTTCACCAGCCTGTTCATTCTGCCCCTGCCTCACAGAGTACCTAACGGACAGAGTCAGGCAGCTCCATTTTCCTGAAAGCTGTGTCATGCTCCTCTGTCCCAGCAATCCTCCCCATAGGCTCCCATAGCTGCTGGCCTCAACTTTCCCAAGAGATGTCGTCTAGTGAAATATGCTCCTCGGACCACATAGGCTGATCACTTTGAGGTTCCCAGGATGGCCAGGATGCTCCACAGAGGACAGGTGGTTTCCTGTCTAGATAAAGCCCTCTCTCCATTCCTCTAAGGACCAACCCCGGGATTCAAAGCATTGGCGAGCTCTAAAAAAGGGCTTACCTGTAACAGTTGTTGTCAAATTTATTGTAACTGGCAAATGCAATCAAGACTCCAAATCCAGCCCCCAAGGAAAAAAATATCTGAGTCGCGGCATCGATCCATACCTGAAACCAGTGAACACAAAGTCATTGCCATCTCTGCTTCCGAAGAAGGGCACTGCCTCCCAGAGAGCGCCACAGACCAGCAAATGAGGTCTGAAGCAGACATGGGCTGTACAACAACAGGCGGGAATCTCCCTAGCATCTCTTGGCCTTGGGCAACAAAGCAATCACGTCCTGGGGGAGCCCGGTGAAGCCATTTAACATCCAGATTTTCAAGAAAGTTGATAAACTACAAATTCTAGGATATCAGGGCAAGACCAAAGGGTCCTGGTCATCTCAGGAGTTATGAAGATGACATCTTGAGGAGATATGATTACTCCTACACGTCAAGCTGCAGACATTGGTAACCAATGAGGGCCTTTGAAGACAATGGGAGTTTACTTTCCAGTGCCCTCTCCCTGGTGACAAAAGTATATATAGCTGGTGGACTAAAGATTTGAGCCCTTTTCCAATCTCTGTGTCATGGTTTACCCTAGTCAGTCTCGCTTCTCCAGCATCCATGCTAGCCATACACACACACATATACACATACATATATTATTTTATATAATATATACATATGTATATTATATGAAATGTGTGTATATTGTATGTATGTACATGCATGTGTATATGTATGTATATACATATAATATCCATACATACATGTCTTTGTATGTATGTGATATCCAGTGGACCTAAACTAAGGTACTTGAGTGTGATGCTGCCTGCCACATCTCTCCTTGTATTCTTCTGGATTTCCCCAACTTTCCATTACACTGGGGGAAGGCAGAGCCACTCACTGAAATGACACTAAGGACTCAGTATCTACATATCTGAGTGAATGAGCGTAGCTTGACCAGTGCAGAACACATGGAAGCCGGTTCTGCTTCACAAGGTTCCTCTTTCTCAGAGTTACACAAGAAAGAGGTTGCTTCTTGGTCTTTGCTCTACAGCATAGTGGTAGGCTGGACACTCGTCTAAGAAAGAAACATATTGAAATGTACCCCTTCTTAATCCTGTTACTGCACCCATCGCCATGTGCCCGTAAGAAGCCTCCCTCTACCCAGCCCGATGCCAGGTGACCACCGGGCACTCACCGTGGCCTCTTTGAGGCGGTAGAAGTCTATGTGCAGGTAGGCATTGATGCCATTGGAGGCACCAGGCAGTGTGACACCATGGACCAGGAGCACAAATAGCACAAAGTAAGGCAGGGTAGCTGTGATCCACACAACCTGAACAACAGACAAACGGCTGTGAGACTCTTGCTCTGCCTGTGAACAGGGTCTTTTCCCAGAGGCCAAACATGCCCTTTCTCAGGTTCCTTCTAGCGTATGAGGCACCATCTTCATCTCAGGGCCCGTCCCTTGGTCAGACCCCGGGGACAGAACAATGAACAGATGCAGGGCTCCCTGAAAAAGCTCAAAACTCATAGCCAGTCACTTAGGAAATAGGACTCAGACAGAAAAGGCAATCATCGAGAGCAAGAGCTAGGTTCTCAAAGCCCCTGATGCCTTTTCCAAAAACTGCCTTTCCCGACCTCTTTAATATACTTCGTACAGAACTGAGCACACTCACCCTTCCCCTGGAGGTCATGCTTCCATCACACTACAGGGATTGGTTGTTGCTCTCAACTTCATAGGTAGGCTATTTAAAATTTCCAGCCTTTCTCCCTCATTTCTCTCTCCACTTCCCTGCCCCTTCTTTGCTATCTCTCCTTCCTCTTTAACACTTTCTCTTTTTCATATATGTGCTTTTATTTCCTTCAGTATAGAGGATAGAGCCCAGAGCCTTTCATACATCAAGCAAGCACTATCCCACGGAGATATAGCTTTGATTTTATGTGACACTGGCTCACTTGTAGCCCACGATCCCTCAAACTCATGATCCTCCTGTCTCAGTCTACCAAGCGCTGGGATGAGTAATGTGTGCAAAACACCTAGCTTCTGTTTTCTTTATCCATATTTAGGTGCATTCTCTCAAGTGTGTGGTATATATCACTGGACAGAAAACAGAAAAAAAATCTCCATCTCAGTAGGAGCAGATAGAGAACAAGACAAACTCTCTTTGCCGAAACACAAAAGAAAGAGATTACCTTTAGAATTAGAACAGATATCCCTGCCTAGCTTGGAAGGACAGAGAAAGAGGTGACTAGGAGGCTTGCCATCTTCTCTGATCCTTCGTGCTCTTGGCTATACACTGCAGTTCTGGTTCAAATGACCTAAGGTACAGCCTTGGCTCTAGTATTTTTTTCTCAGTTGATGTTAAAGTGTAGCCAGGGTTAAATGTCTTCATTCTTGATGCGGCTGTGGGCTGTAGCATTTTCTAGGCAGAAGAGTTGGGCCCAAAACAGAACAGTGAGCCAGGGCTAGGTAGTCAGAGCCAAGGAAGACACTGCTGGAGCGTGAACGAACACATAGATTAAGGGCCAGGTAGGTTCCCCTTACAGTTCAAGCACTCTGCCCCCTAAATGGTCCATACATGACTCCAGAGAGAACACGGAAGACTGAAGACATGACTGGGGGTAACGTTCTTTGTCAGCCTAGAAAGACATGGGCTCAAAGCAAAGATTGTGACAAACTCACCCATTTTTCACACCTGTGTTAAGAAACTGGAATTGATCTCCCTTATTTCCTTATTCCTGGTCTGTCTGGGTTCTTAAAATATTTGGTAGGTGAATGAATGAACTGTCATATAGATGAAAGGATGAAAGATTGAGGTAAAAGATGGAATGAGCCAGGCGGTGGTGGCGCATGCCTTTAATCCCAGCACTCGGGAGGCAGAGGCAGGCGGATCTCTGTGAGTTCGAGGCCAGCCTGGTCTACAGAGCGAGTTCCAGGACAGTCAGGGCTACAGAGAAATCCTGTCTGGGGGAAAAAAGGAATGAATGGTTGGATATAGAGCTATTTTTTTGGTTAAATGAAAGGACAGATGGTTGAGTGGAGAGATGGATGGATTCAAGAGCAGGTGAGTTACAAGCCAGAGGGTTAGTGAACAACAGAGTCAGTCAAAGAAAGAATGAAAGCAAGAGAGAAAAAATGGGTAAGGAAACAAAGTGAGTAGGCCCATCACTGGTGGGCACATCTGGTTGGTCCAGAGGGAACTAGAGAAGGTTCCTCTGTTTGATACCATTCAGGTAGTTGCTCCCCAGTTCTATAAATGTCTTAAAATATGGGCTTTGGCTTCTGTGTTCCTTGAGAGGCTGTGGATGCATAAATACAGAGCGCACACTTGATAACAAACGGGGAGAGAAACATGCCCTTGAACACAAAGCCACTGCATCTGGGTGGCCTCGCATTGGTCTCGGATGACTCAGTCTGTCCAGCTGGGACAAACGGATCTCAACCCTTGGCAGTTGGAACAAAGAAGAGTCGTCATCCATCCTGATTCTAACAGTCTCCTACGACTCTTGTCAACAGCTGCGGCCCAGCTGCACTGTCGTCCTACCCTACAGGCTGGGTGTGACCACACTCCTCCTGTGGAAACAGCACCCAATGTTCTGACTCCAAGAAGTCTCCCATGGGGCGCGGAGGTGGTCCTGCACTGGCCATGAGCGAGGCTCCACATGGATTTGGTTTACCCAAAGAAGGCATCAAGGTATGATGGAGCCCACAATGAGGGCGTCAAGCATTAAGGAAGAGCTGCTTTTTCCCCTTGACCTTACATTCAGAGTTAAAGTTTTTGGAGGCGAATGCATTTTCAGCCATCTGGAACCTTTTTCAAAAGCTGGAGGACAGCTCCCTCACACCCCTAAAAAGGAAGAGCCCTTTGAACTCTATCATCTCCATCCCAGACCTCATTTTAAACATGAGATAAAGAACAAAATGAGCAACGCTTTTTTCTTTGTTCTGTCACTGAAAGCGTAGCTTTTGGTTTGGGGTTTTTGTTGTTGTTGTTGTTGCTGCTGCTGCTACTACTATTTTTGCTTTTTGTTTTGTTTGTTTTGAGGCAGAGTCTCACTAGGTAGCCCTGGCTAACCTGCTGTAATCGATCAGGTTGACTTCAAACTCTGTTCCCTGAATGCTGGGGTTAAAGGCATGTTCCACCTTGTCCACGCTTACACATAAATTCTTACCCCTTAAATGTGTCTGTGGATAATTTAGGAAGTTCCACAGTAACAAATTCCAAACCAATGGCTGATCATAAAAATAAAGACAACCGTGGCTCATAAAAGGAAGACCCTCAGATGGCAGAGCTTCCTTCCTGTGGGGTGGTTATTTATATTCTCAGTGTTGGAGAGAATAACACCCACAGAGCTTCTCCAACTGCAGGTCTAAGAGTACCCAGAGAGGCACCATAGTAAAGCTCAAGATTTCTGGTCCTTCCTAAAGAGATGCTAATTTGGTGTGGGTGGGACAGGAGCTCCCATTTTTGATGAGTTTCTGGGTGACATTAATGCTAATAGCCCATGGACCTCACCTTGAACAAGAACTTCTTGGCCTGATGTCTGGACACATAGCAAGGCTTGCATACTTTCAATAATGGTACCTCAGCATGTCCCTGGACCCACACTGCTGGGAGGAAACTCCCTACAGTTTGTGGCCAGCTAGCCTAGCCTACTTGACAATTGCAGGTAAGTGAGAAACCCATCTCTTAAATAAATACATAGTAACAACAACAACAACAACAAACAGTGCACAGGAATGACAATCTGTAGTCTTCCCTCTGGCCTGCACATAGACACACACACCCAAATACATATGTGCACTCCACACACATGTGCTCACAAATAAGAATGAAATAATAAAGTAAATATCCACACTGTATCTCTGTGAAATTTCATTAACTTTTCCAGACTTAGGATTTGTGGTCTTTGACTTGAGTTCCAAGGTCATTTTCCTAACAATGAAGATAATCTTCAATACAGAAGAAGGTATAGGATATGGCATAACACTAATGTTGCTTAAGTAAACAGCACGCTACACATAGTTTGGTGTAAGCCTGGATCATATGTCCTGTGTCACTCAATTCATAACTTAGTAAAGACATGAAGGTAAGCCAGACCCGCCTGTCTATTGACTTAGTAGTGGGAAGAGGCCTAGAAGTAGGACTTGACTCTAAATGAAAATGCAAACAAAAAAAGCTTTTCATCTATTAAATATTCTAAAACTCAACCCCTAAATCTTTCAGGCTTTCTCTCTCTTTCCAATTCCACCACCTCTTGCTAGAATTTAGGACACAGTCTGTATATTCCCACCATCCAATCAACCCAAAGGCCAGCAGTGAGGTGGGTAATGACTGGCTGGCCCTGGACATCTCTGCCATCTCATGCCCCTGGAAGAGAGGGAGGCCTCTGAAGTGTCTCAAACTCAGTGCAGTGTGCAAACAGATTGGGCAGGAACTCAGGAGAGGAGGAGGTGAACCCGGCTTCTGACTCCCTCTGACTTCCTTCTATTCTGAGGTGCTTTCTGGGCCGACACAGCTGTCACTGAGTGTGTGGTCTGGGGTGTCCCCTTCCCCTGGTTCGGACTAGGCTCCTACTCTCCCAAGAGCCAAGCAGTTGGTTTCTTTCCAAGCCTTCGGCACTTGCACGTTTGACTCATCCCAGGCCCCTCGGAGGCGGCGGGGCGGACTAAGAAAAGCTAGTGTGCTGCTCTGGAAAGACATAAGCAATGCTCTTGGTCAGTTAGTTTACAAAGACAATTAAAGCCACAGTCACTGGAATGTCCAGAGTGAGGCCAAGTCCAGAAATGTCCTCCGCGGAAGACCACCTGGGGCCTCTGTGTACTCCAACTTCTGCACTCCGGGGGACGTAGGCAAATGGGCCCTGGCTTCAGCTGACGCTGCAGAGCCTCTCACACCCCTCTTCAGGTTTCCACATATAGGGTGCTTTCCTGGGGAAACATTCCTCCTCACCTCAGAAAGTGCATTTGGCCAAAGGAACTGAGCATGCTCAGCCATTCCTTCCTCTGTCTCCTTCCTGGCAGCTTATGACTGTGAGGAATCAGCTTGGGTTGCCATGTTAGAATACTAATGGCCCCACAGCCATCTTCTGCAGCTGTCTGAATGGGCTGTGAGGCCAATTCCTGGTACCAAGTGCACACAGAGAACCCCAAGCAGGGCTTGTCTAGGGCTTCCACACCTTGGTGACTTTCCTTACACCGTTTCTTCTGGTGAGAAATGTCTCCTTCCTTCTCACTTCCACCCATGCCTATCCTTATAGGTGCAGCAAAAATATCACCTTCCCCATGGCTTTGCAGACTTTCCTGGCTGAGAAAAGCATCCGTTGTCCACAAAGGTGGCATCTTAGACTTTTTGACCATGGCACCTGGTAGGAAACCCACTACCTGCCTCGTCAAAGTACAGGTAAACATACACGCGGCTACATCTGTCTGTCAAATAGAGCTACCTGATAAGCTGGCTTAATAACAGTTTAAAAAAAAACTACAGCTTACATTTTTATCAAGATACAACTGGACTACCTAATATGAAATTATTCTAAGATAAAATTAATAATAATCTAAATGTAGTTATTGATGAGAGGTGTTTATTTGAAGGAGGCTGAACACAGATACCTTTGGCTAGAGACTGAAATTGCTGGACACCTCTGCTGACCCCAAGCCCATCAGGACCACAAACTGATAAAGCCACTAAGGAAATAATCTGTCTTCTATCTGTGTGCTGCTACTCCTGGCATCTAGGATAGCACAGAGTAGGTGCCCATAAAGGCTCAATAAGTCAAGCTTAATAAAGTCCCCAAAACTTACCCACCCATCCTTCAACCTATTTCTAAGCATTTACCAGAGACCTACTATGTGCCACGCATCAGGATGATAGTGATCCTAGACTGGTTTTGTCACTGGGACAAAGAGCAAGCAGGATGCAAGCAGAGACCGGAGGAGCTACTGTGCATGGGGTCTCTCCTGCTTGGAGCAGGTCTGCAAAGTCAGTTGTCATAATGCGAGATGTCCAGGAAACATAAAAAATCTACATGGAAATGATCCCGAACCCTCTGACCTGACAGACAGCTCTGACTCCAGCTCCTAGCCAGACCCAGCCACTAGGATGTTCCAGTCAGGTCTCCAGATATGGCCCAGGTAATATTACACAGAGAAGAAGAACCATCTACCTGAGCTGGTCAACTCCTAGAACTGTGAGAAATGACAAAATATTTACTATTTTAGCTCACTGTATTTTGGTGTGGCTTGTTCCAATGCCCTACATAAATAAAACACTAGAAAGGACACCTCCCAACTTTGTTGTCTTTAATTATAGCCAAGTTCTAGACCACATGGAGTCCCAGTAGGGTTGTTATCTTCAAGTTACTCCCCAAGCTGAGGATCAACTGGAGCCATTCCCTAAATACACTCCATCCCTTAGAGCTGACCACAGGAGGCAGCATCATGCAAGTTCAGAATGCTGTCCTCGCTGTCTAGCTAACTGTATTCATCTCCAAAGTATCTAGACACTTGGGGGTGCCCGACTACAGTTAGAACCATAATACACATCGAATTACCTTTCAAAACATTTTTCTCCAAAAAAATTTAACATGGGTTTATCGATTTTATAATAAAGCAATTTCTCAATTTCCTGAGTGGGATGCGATGCTTATATACAGATTTAGATGAGAATTCAAGGTCCAAGATCTTTAGCCTTGGTCTCAGACTTTAGGTGATGCTCCAAGCCCCCAGTCTTATGGAAGCTTCCAAGGGAAAATCCGAGGAGGTCTGATCTACTTACACCCCTTTACCTTGCCGCTTGGCAGAGTCAGGTTTAGGTAGCAGATTTGTCCACATAGTGGCAGGGCTGAGGGTACGCCCTAACTTGTGGTCCTAGATCCCCCTATTTGCACCAACCACATGGTTGCAGCTCGGAGAACACAAAACCAGACATGTATATTTCCAAGGCCAACCTCCCAGCTAAAGAAGCAGAGAGAGACTTCACCTTTCCCGACGTCTTCACCCCCTTCCAGAGGCTGAAATACAAGACGATGATGACGACCATCAGACAGAGCAGCAGCTGCCACTGGGGCAGGCCGATGTCATGGATCCCACTGCTCTCATGCAGGTGAAGGACACCGCGCCTGTGAGCAGCAAAGAGGACAGCGTCAGGGAGGATGACCAAGTGCCTAGGGATGGCGACAGGAACCGCCACTCCCCCAAACTCTAGAGCTATTGCATGGGCCAGTTCTGGGCAGCTATGGCCTGCACCCAGGATGGCCTGCTGAAGTGCCACTTACTGGCCCCGGGATTAGGGAAGGCCCCTGTTTTCCAGAGTTCCCTTTCTAAACTAGCAGTTCTCGATAAAAGAAAGAACAGTGTTCACACACAGCAACCCCTAAGTCATAAAAAACCACCATTAGTAGAATTAGTGTTCATACACACAAAACAACCAAAAGTCCGCCATTGGTGGAATGGACAGAGCGTGGAATACTATGCAGCATCTGTAGCCATGGAGACGAACCTTTCACACCTTATGGCAATGGCAGACAATCAAACGAGCATTTTCTGTCTGACTCCAATCATATGAAGTTCTGTGAAACATGGAAAATTAATCTAGATGGTTAAAAGTCACTCTGGTTGGAAGTGAGGGTTGCTTACGAGGGAAGGACCTATGGGCACTTCTAGGGACCCTGCTTGCTGGGCTGTGTGCTGGTCACACGGCTACATTCAGTTTGTGACAGTCACTGAGCTGGCCCTCTGGGATATGCATTTGTCTGTGCTAGGTTATTCTTCAATAAAGGGCATTTTTAAGCAATTGAAAACAAAGAGAATAAGCATCCTCAGGCCACCGAGACCCTCACATACCATGTACAATGAGGGAATGAAAAGCAGAACAGTCAGCAAAATGACTACTTGCTAATTAGAACCCAAAGCCACTCAGTGATATGGTCAATTAAGACAAATGGATAAAATGGTAGATCAGGTCCCAGGAACTGGGGTGTCCCACACGGTGCAGAGGTTCACCAACAATTCCACATCCTAGGAAGTCAAGCAAAGAGGACTGGGAGTACCTTAGTGGGGCCTTTGACCGCACCTATGTCAAGCATTTCCTCTTGAAAGGTTGACTACAGATTAGCTCATCTGGGCCCTAGATAAACTTGAGAAGCTGCTCCATACATACAGTCCCGGCCTTGGTGGAGTTATAGCCAACATGGGCAGTAGCCTTATGTGTGAAATCACAAAAAAGAGGGGCATATGTTGTGAGTAGTCAGGGAGCTGCAGGAGGCCCCCCCCGGATGGACCCCCATCTACCTGCCTCTGAGTGCCATACTCAAAGGCCATAGTGGACTGGAAGCTGCTATAGTCTGCTCCAATGTCTCTTCCTCCAGAAGGGGTCACCAGTAACCCTTGTCATAAATATTTAACCCTTGTAGTTCCCATGGCTGACTCATTGGCCAGAAGAGTGTCTACTTGAGACACCCAGGCTGGCTGCATAGCTGTCCCTGGGGAATTGATTGCACGACCTTGTATGGATACTGAAATCTGGGAATGCTCAATGCCCTTAGATAAAAATTTTCCATGTTTCACAGAACTTCATGATTGGAGTCAACCGAAAATGCTCGTTTGATTGTCTGCCATTGCCATAAGGTGTGAAAGGTTCGTCTCCATGGCTACAGATGCTGCATAGTACTTCTTGCACAGTCCCTCTGTATATTCTAGATCATCTTTAGATTACTTTAACAACCCAGTCTCCGTACATGTGTTGTTCTGTATCACCGCAGAGATAATGGCAAGCCACAAACTTCTGTCTGTACCTGTTCAGAATAGACACATCTCTCATGGTGTGATACAGAGGTTCACTGCACAAAGGTCTTCTGGGAAAGAGAGGCAGATAAATCACTCCTGGATCATTAGGGCTCATCCCAGGCCTGGGAGCTTAGGTTCAAAACAGACAAACGTCCTCAACTCTTGTAGCTAAACCCAACAGTCTAGCTTCTCCTTAACAGAAAATGAGAACCCAGAACCACTCCAGGGAGAGCTAGGGAGAAAAAGGTGAGTCCCTAACATGGTTTTGCTTCTCCTTAAGTCCTTCTTCAACTTAGGGTAAAGTCCCAGCTCTCCAGATCCTTTGTACTGCAACCTCCTGTGTCCCCACAGAGGGTCTTCACTTCCCTGGGTGTCATTCTGCAAATATCTGTGTTCCGTTTCAGAGAGAGGCTGGTTATAAATAATACTGAAGTGACAGGAGCCAGCAGCAGGTCCACACGCTATATCCTTCCTTAGAATAAAACACTAATTCCAGAGGACACACTGATAAAACATAAACATCTTTGATTGAAAGACAGTTAATTGTCTAATATTTGTAACTGTTTATCTATGTATCTAATATTTAAGTATACATGTATATCTGCCTTACCTGCCCCTCCTCCTCTACATCCCCCCAATCTTTTCTCATCCTTCTTTCCCCCCCCCAGTTTTCTTTCTCTTCTTCCACCTCCACTTAAAGAGAATTATGAAATACGGGTTTTAATTTGAATATAATTCAGAACCAGCCAGAAGCACCAGCTGTGCATGCAGCCCCATCTCTGAGCACGTTTCCCTTTGGGAACAGGATTCTCAATTCACACATTAGTATTAATTGTCTAAGGTCAAGATAAACCTTTCTCTTTGTTGTGGCTGTTAGATATTCTGTTTCACTATGTAGCCCAGGCTGGCCTGGAACCCATGGCAACCTTCCTGCTTTGGTCTCCCATGAGCCACTAGAACAGACAAAAATAAATCTTTTAAAGGATGTTTTATATCATAAAGAGATTGCTGCTCTCTATTCACTCTTAACCAATTAAGTCAGAACCTCTGGGAGTTGGTACTTGGGCAATAATGCCTTTGATTGGCAGCCGGAGATTGAACCTACTGAGTCAGAGGCCTATCCAAATGACAGACTTCTGCTAGGCCAATTGAACCTTCCAGAAACTGTCTACTCTCTTGGCAAAATACAATTGGCTTTCCGTACTTGAGGAAGGGAAAGTGGGCTTGTAACTCTCCTGGAAGCCTGGGTGCTTGGAGGAAGACACAGGTAACAGTAATGGGGAGTTGAACGACCTTTACTGGACCAGCTCAAAAAATCCGATTGGGTGTCGATGAGAGTGTCTACTCCCAGTCCAGAGATCCACCAGCCTGCCCCTGAGGAGTTAACACCTGTGAGTGGCCTGTGAAGGTAAGAAAACCACACAATGCTGTGTGCTGCGTTCATTCAGTCAGTAATTCTTTCATTCGTACCAGGTGTCTAGTATTTGCAAGAACATGAAAGGAAGTAGAAGAATGTGGCACAGAAGTTGTCCGGGCTCTCCTGATCTTGTTTGACCTGATCCCATGCCTAGCCCCAAGTTCTCTGTAGCTTTGATTTAGGCTGTGTGTTAGGCGCTGGTAATGAGAGCATTCGTGAAGCTCCATCCCGGGATAGGAGCAATGCAAATAGGCTCTGGTAAATCAATCTCTCTCTCTCTCTCTCTCTCTCTCTCTCTCTCTCTCTCTCTCTCTCTCTCTCTCTCTCTCTCTCTTTCTCCCCCCCCCTCTCTCTCTTTCTCAATCTCTCTCTCTTTCTCTGAGATTTTTTTCCTCTTTAGCAGATGGCTCTCATGAGGATTCAACTGTAGAATGTGAGCCATACTTGGGCCCAGGAAATGTTCCACAAAGAGCAGCCATAGCCGTCCCTGCATCTGGGGCTAGGCTACAAAGAAAGCTGAGGAGTGTTCCCAAGGCTCCACAGGGTGTGAGCAGACCAGGCTCTTCTAACAAGACTGTTAGGAGCCAGTGGAATGCAGGGTGAGCTGGCAGCAGGTATTCAGGTGCAGAGGTGGCAGATGAGGACACAAGCATTTGTGAAAGAGGAAGGAAAGCTGTGTAAGTGACCGAGACCCACAAAGACTGACATTACCCCCAACTAGCCAGTCTCTGGCTGCCCCGGGTCACCTGTCTTGGCTTCATACAACTCACCATGTCTCATACCCTCCTGCAACAGTCCCTGTATCTGGCCCTTCCTAGTCCTGACTCTGGTTCTCACTAACCTGTCCCATACCAGACCCCTTATTCTCTCCCTCCAGACTGTTGAATATGCATAGTTCCCTCAATCCTGGTCTCTCTGCATCACACAGGCTCTCCTAAATCCACTCTCTACTCCTGGGAGATGACACACGCGTACATGGGTCTAACCTCGTCACAAACAACTACATCCTGTGTCTGGATCTCGTATACTATACATGGAGGGGAAGGGCTGGTGCTAGTGTCTACCGAGCAGAGGTCAAGGACACTGCCAAACATACAGGACAGTGACTACCCCACCCCCACTCCCCAGAAAGAACCATCCTACCCTAAGTTAGGCACGTCAAGTGGTGAAGTCTAGCTCCGGGAGGTAGAAGCCGTTCAGTATCAGGGAGCTTTCAGTACCACTGCCAAGTTCATGCCTCCCTTGCCGGCGGCACCTGCCTTTTGCTCCAGGCAATTACATCTTGAGATGCTCCCCTGATCCTAGGGGAGGGTCTTGGGACCTTCTGTTCCTGCATCCTAGAATACATTTCCCACCCCAATTTGTCAGCCTGGCCAATGTTTGAGTCCTGCTATCCTCAGACCAGAAGTGGTTCCGTGACTTATAGTCTTTATTATTTCCAGAGAGAGAGAGAGATGATGAAAGGTGGAAGGGAAAGAGGAGAGAAGGGAAGAGAAGAAAGGGGGAAAGGGGCCGGGAGGATGGAGCGGAAAGAATGGCTGAATATGACCAAAAAGAAGTAGAATAAGTATAAGAGGATAAGTAGTATTGCTTCACTTGCTACTTAATGCTGCATCATTTTATAGTGCTATGGGCCAAATGTATCAACTGTCATTTGGCTAATTGACTTAAAAATCACACATATATATGCACTAGTGTGCACACAGATGCACACGCGCGCACGCGCGCACACACACACACACACACACACACACACGCACACACTGTAGGGAATCACCCCTGCTTGTCTGAGGCTTGAGAAAATGCCCTAATGTCTAGTCACACAACTGAAGTGTTCCCATGGAACATGCGTCCCCAGATGCATCTGAAGAACCAGACTCCAGAGCTGATCATAGAGAAGAGAGCTGAGGGCCAAATTCCTAAGCTATGGGGTTGGCACAAGCAACTTGGGTTTGTATTCCTTTTCCGGCAGCTTAATGGAAGTGAGTCATCACTGGGGGCACCATCCAGGTTTTCCAAGCCTGTGGGCCAAAATGACTCCATTCCTCTCTTGACATTTAAGCATGAAGATTTTTAGTATTAGCGAGGAGGGAGAATTCCCTTCCTTGCCAGCGGTGTCATGGGTAGAAATTTTCTATCCTGACACAGTCACCGAAGGTGTCTTTTACAGATAAAGCTAGAACTTGAGTGGCTGTCCGCGGTGACACTTATGTGGCTTCGGGCCCAGAGCCTGGGAAGAGCAACACTTTTGTTCCCTTGAAGGATATGTTCAGTCTGTCAGCCTAAATGAGTACAAGATGGCAACAGACTTGGCCAGGGTGCCCCGGGGAAAAGAAGGAATTACCCAACCTCCACAGGGCTGGCACTGGGAGTCACATTTGCTGGCTCTCCAGACAGAGCTGAGCTGTCTTAGAAGCAGAAGCAGCTCAATGCTCAATAACAGGGACATGTACTATACAAAATCCAGAGACAGCCATGGCAATATTGTGCTCTGGGAAGCTATCTACCAGCAAAGGCCCCTGCACTCCTGAGCCAGACCTATGAGACCAGAGTCCTGGGGGCAGAAAGTGGAGCCCAGCTCTGTCTCAGGCCTAAAGCCGGACTTAATTATCCTGTTTGACAATGCAACTCATTTTCACCTCCAGAGATGGAGAGAATACGGTAGGATTCGGTTATGAAAGAACGCTCAGAACACAGTTCAGGGTAGCTAGGAGGGCTTGTGGGAGCAGGGGACAGATGAGCTGAAGGTTTCCGACAGTCTCCCCACCATCTGCTCTCTCCAAGCCCCTGTGTAACCTTAGACAAGAATGTTCTTCCACCCTACACCCTACCTCTGCTGGGCTTGGAAGAAGCTTAGCTCTGCAACCAAAGGTCTCCTCTTCTTCCCGCTGTGCATCTCAGCGGGAGTAGATGGGCTGGGGGGGGGGGAGACAAGATGAGGGGCTTTCATTTATTATTTTAATTTATAAGAACAATGATCGCCAGGAGCTAAAGAAAGACAATGCTGTTTGCTCAGTGAGAGGAGCATGCTGGGAAGCCTGATCAGCAGGACCGCCCCATCCCCCCCCATCTTGCACTGTCTCTCCCTGTCCAAACCACACTCATAAAATGTGAAGAAACGCCCGGAACTTTCACCCACAAACTCTGCTACAGTTCTGGGGTCTGAACCCATGCTCCTCTAGAGAAGAATGAAGGAGACCCTAGATTTTCTGTGACATGAGACCCCCACAGGACAGGGAACTGTAGTGCCTAATCCAGGAGCTTTCAGTGACAGCTCTGGGAAGATCACCAAAGTCCATGTGCCCTGGTTGTATCTAGGCTGGTAAAATCCTGGCAGCAGTAACTTTTAAAACTCCCCAGGTAATTGCAATGTGTAGCCAGGATTTGACTTCACCATACTAAGAACTTGATCCTTGGCCCATGCAGAGGACAAGCTCCCTTCCAATGCTACTCCGGAACTGAGGACCTGGGATGAAGCATTTGCTGATTCGTTCTCATTTCCTCATTCATAGATCAAGCAACATTTTAGATCCCAGTGGTCATAATGAAAAGATAGTACTAACCAGGTTCCCTCTTCATGGGAAGCTCCCCAGTTAAAGCAGAAAGGTAAAGAGCTCAGAATAGTTGCCGGAAGTCCTTAAAACTGACCAGATTAACTAGGCTACTCAATGCCAGAGTAAGCAATAAACTCTGAGAGCTGCCAAGAAGACTCTCAGAAGAAAGTCTTCAGACTCTGAGACCAGCTCAGCAGCTTGGAAGAAGCAGAAGCCAGCTGATAGGCCTGGAAAAGCTTTAGACCAGAGACGCTGGAAAAGGACACTGTCCAACCTCTTGAGCTGCTCTGGGCTCCCAACTTTTGTGAGCTGTCGCTCATACTGGGGAGGTCTTTGAGTCATTTCGGCTCCAGTAGGTAACCCCTCACCCCATTTCCCTCTAGATAACCCCAAGAAAACTCATGGCTCATCAAGCTGGGCTTGATGGTATCTGTCCTTCTCATCTGTTGGGGGGTTTGTATATGACCTGGGAGATAAATCTACACAAGTGACCCCAAAGCCTCAGAATATATCATCTGTGTTTCCATTTAGCTAAGTGCGGAGCTTCGGCAATGGATCACATGAGCCTTGAGGGTGGAGTGCAGTGGGGTTTATCCGTCATGTTCCGCGATGCGGTCTGGACTTTGTGCTCAACCACTAGTGTATATAGGGCATCGCTCAAATGAGGCTCACCTGTGTAGAAAGGATCACTTGAGGCTGTCCTCTGAGGACAGAAACATGCAAACACTTTAAATCAGGTGACTGCAAGCAAAGCAGCCACGCCCTTCACCAAGACCTAGGAAAACAGAGCCGAGACCAAGAGGCCAACAGAGTGAATAGTGATGGCTCAGGAGTCAACCACAGATAAAATAAATATTTGGGATCCCATTCGGACTTTGTATGTAAATTGGGTTAAATACATGAAGGGGAAAGCTGGTATTGACAGGAGAACTCTACTCGGTTATTCTAGAAGGAATGATGAATAGCAAGGGACAATTAAATGCTACGACAGAAATCCTTACCTGCAAAAATTAATAATAGGCACTGTAGAGTAAAGGATGAGGAACAATATCCTTGCATACCCTTAAAGTGCCTCTTTGAAAGGCAAAAGTTACCAAAGTAAAAAATATCTCGATCCAGGAAGGAGCTGGCAACTTCCACCTTTGCCACACTCAAGGTTGACATCACAGGTGACAAGATAGATTGGCATCATGCTCTCCAGACAAGGCTCACTGAGAAAAGCGCCACTGTACCTCTTTGGTGCCCTTGACGAAGGTGTAGACTCTCAATCAGAATGTGAGCAACAACAAACAAATCCATCCTGACAAATATTTCATAGACGCACGGCCAATACTCTCTAGAAGTGTCAAGGTCGTAAAAACCCAGGGAAAGCTCAAAGAACTCAACCATATTGGAGGGGACTAAGCAAATGTGACAGCTAAATATTATAACATATCAGTGGAGGAGTGTGAAATTCACATGAGGTCTTCAGTAGACTAGCTAATAATGTGAACATTAATTTTCTGATTTCCTTAGTCCAAAGCGGCTACCCAAGATGTCAACATTAGAAGCTGGGGTGGAAAGGCCCCATGTACTATTTTTTTTTTACAACTTTTCTACTTCTGAAATTACTCCAACTGAAATGTTGTATTTATTTTTAACAATGTTCTGTTCACTCCACCAGCCCATACCACACACGCACGCGCGCACACACACACACACACACACACACACACGCACATACACACTGTAAATACACTGTCTCCAAGCTGCATACAACTGGTTTGCTTCCTCCATGTGGGAGCTCCCAGCACGGGGTATATGGAAGGACAGCTTCAGGACCAGACAGATGTAGATTCCAGCTACGGAGCCATCATCTACCAATTAACTTCTTTCTGGGTGTTCTCTTGGCTGATATCGTCGGTTTCCACAGCCACGTTCTCCGAGCAGCCGTCCTTCCCACAAGCTCCCATTCTCCCACATGCTTAGCTTTAGTTCTTAAGGGCAATTATTCTCCCCAAAGTGCGTTTTACATGCTTCCTATCCGCATGCTGGCTCTCTGGCTCCCAGCCTCCTCTTTCCTGTCCTATAGTAGAGGCTCCACTGGGTGCCCTATATACTCCTGTCTCCTCTGTTCTTAACTTGGCATCAAGCCTGCACCCTTCAAATGTTGATTACCATGCCCCTGGCTGGTCTGTGGTTTTCCTGAGTGCCTGGCTCAGCTCCTGCCCAGACCTGGAGGAGAGGTGAGGAGAGGCACCCATGACTTACTCATAAAACTCTGCAGCCGGCGTGAACTTGTATTTGGAGTATTTGGTATGGTCTCCCAGCACCGAGGCATTAAGGAGTTTCGGGTCAGTGCAGTTGGGGCTGTTCCAGGCATGGCCACAGTTGGTCCAGGGCAGGTTCAAGGTGAAGGACGCAAAGAGGTAGTAGAGTGACCAGGCAATGATGACGTTGTAGTAAAAGCCAACATAGAGGGCAATGAGGATCACAGCGTAGCCTACTCCTATGTAGGGACAAAGAGGTCAGACTTTTGGTCCATCCGGTCCCATAGCTCCTCCCTCACTCCTGGAAGTGGGCTCCAGCCACTGCACACTCCTGCACCTTCTTTTACTGGATCACAGCCTCACCCATAATCTTTTGCCACTGTAGCTTTCTTGGTCCACTAATCAGAGAAATAGATGTGTCAGGGCCTTAATGTTACATCAGGTGTTGGATGGAAGCTCCCTTGTCACTCAAACAGGACAACACAAGGCTGTATCTCACACCTCTCTCCCTACCTGCCGTGGAACTGGCCAGTGATAGACTAAGCTTCCCTTCTCCAGCTGATGCTTCTAAGACCACCTCACCTTCCCTGGTAACTCCTTATACTTAATCCTTCCCCAGGACCTGCTTCCTGGTGAAGCTCCAGCCAAGCACTCCCTGATTGGTTCTCAGCACAGTGTGCCTGCCCACAGGGTCTTAGCCCCAATCAACTGTGTCCTACACCAGCAAGCTGACAGAATGATTAGGAAGCTCCGGAGGGTTACAGCTGTGGCTGTTCTTTTTTTTCTGGAGACAGGATTTCTCTCTTTAATAGCCCCTGCTGTCTTGGAATTCACTTTGCAGACCAGGCTGGCCTCAAACTCATAGAGATCCACCTGCCTCTACCTCCAAAGGGCTTGAGTTAAAGGTGTGAGAGCCACCACACCCTCTGATCCTCAGTAATTCTTAGTGGTGAGATTTGATAGAGCGTAATCCCAGCTTCTTTGATATAGCCAAGGCCTCATGATACAGGCCTGGCCGTAGCTTCCCGGTAGCTATACTGATTGGTCAGCAGGCAGTCGTGTGACTCAAGTCCTCTGGGTCCTTAGTGACATCATGAGTACATAAGGGCTTCTTGTCTGCTCGTGTTTGTTGTTTCCAACTGTTAAAGCTGGCATAATTTAACCTTGTAGCAGTTAATGGCAATCTTTGTTAGCAATTGATAAGATAGAGTTAGGAATGATGCTAATGCAAGAGAAAAAAGATTCCAGACAGTATTGTTTGAGCACCAGGATCAAGTTGCACCTGACCAGACCCTAGATTTTAACATAAGCCAATAAATCAAAGTCTAATGGGGGGGGGGAGAGAAAGGGGGATGATGTGTGTGTGTGTGTGTGTGTGTGTGTAGATATATATCCCTTATACACGCATAGCTTCTTTAAAGAACCCAGAGGAAGCATTCGCTGGTTTGATTTGACTCACATTCATATATATGAAAATTCCATAATGAAGCCCATCACTTTGTATGCTAACTTTATAAATTAGTCAAAATTTGTAAAAACATAAAAAAGAATACAAAAATAAAGCCATTTTGAGTTGGATTTCAGGTGACTAAACAGGGAATATGCTAATCCGCATATCTCGTAAGACTTTTATGTCAGCCTGTCCTTACCGTGAACTGAGCATATACAAGGTGCAGGAGAGACTCTTGCCACTTAGGAAGACACATTTGTCCTCACTGTCACCATCTTTCTAAGTGTTTGAGAAATACTAGACTTCCTCCACACCCTTCTCTCAGGTCTAGGGGATGGAGAATGGCAGTTGTCATGGTTACTTCCCACACACCTGTTCTAAATTGAAGTACAAGTTCATCTTACAGCTGCCATGGCTGTTGTATTAACTTTCCAAGGCAGCTTTCTGATGGAGCTTGATGGCATCTGTGTTCAACTTTTCATGCCTGCCACGTGAGCAAGAAATGAGAGCAGAGGTCTGTGTGCTGAGATCCCTGCTATCCTCATATTTCCCATCTATAAAAATACTCTCTAGTCCTTCACTCAACTAGTGGGGCACAGCCTGGAGTCCAAGTTTAAGGCTACACTTGATGTAACCTAGTTTCTTTGTGTAAATTGGAATAGCAGACAATCTTGACTTTGTCCATGCCCGTGAGCCCCATGTGAGACATGAAGTCTCACCTTGGGAGCAGATTCTTCAGAAGACACCAAGTAAGACTTTGGAGAAAATATTTGGCTTCCCTCAGATCACTCCTACCTTTGAAGAAAGGACAGATCTTCCACACCGTGGCTGCCCCTTCCCGGTTGTACTGCCCCAGAGCCAGCTCCATGTAAAACAACGGCATCCCAGCTATGATGAGGAACAGCGTGTATGGGATCAGGAAGGCACCTGAAAACCATGAACACAGGATTAGACCTGCAGGACAGCTGCCCCTTAAAGGGCTACAGTCAAGCCTCTGCAATAGCCCATAAGGATCTTGTTCACCTGCTTCACCTGGCGCTTTCCTGGGGATGTCTTCTGTCGATAGATTTACAAAGAATACTTGAAATGCGTACATCAGCAGGCAAGACAGTCATAGTGTTCATAACCACAGAAATGCAGTCTGCAGTCGCACAAATAAAAGCCAAGTGAACCGAAGCTGAAGAACTGTGTTTCCACAGCTTCTCAGAGCCCTCGGTGCATGGCGCCTGCCACGAAGCTGCTCAAGACACAGCCTCTACCAAACTCGCAGAACCTTTCCCTTCATGAAGCCACACTCTGGACCCTCCCTGGTGAGGCCAGCCTTTCCTTCCACAAGCAAAATGAATGAGACCAGGCAAGGAGAGATGGCATGACTGATATCGTTGGCGGTCTCACCGGGCTTCCCCAAACCTGATTTTATTGTATTCCCCTTGAGTGCCACAGCAACCCATGAGAAAATGATGTCACCAGGGTTACTGTGACCCCTGGGGGACATTGCTAGGCAGAGGGAGAAGTCCGAGCTTCCTGATGGCACTGCTGATAAGAGACAGAAGGATTCTCCTTAGACTTCCTTCCTGTCCATGGGGCTCATCCTGCTGTAGGCTGCTAAAGGAAAAGCTGCTACAAAGAGGCCATAAGAAGCCCATCCACTGAGGCAGAGTAGACCCTGAAGGAGGTCCTAGGCCACAGGGCATGTACGTATGCATGCATGCATGTATGTATGTATGTATGACATGTCAGCAAGATTAAACCAAAACAGTCTCTCCTTTCCCGACACTGTCAGTGCAAAACCAAACTCCCCCCAGATGTCTGACCAAGATGCTCTAACCGTGGCAATCTCTGACCCATCCACACCAGGAAAATGAGCCAAGTTGGGGGTGCATAAAGATGACGACAGTACTGATGATTTTAACACAGAGCTCAGCAGCTCACTCTGGCCAAGCTCCTAGTGTGGGACGGGTGCTTTCCATGCAACCTCATTATAGCGTTATGGACTTTCTACCGAGCTAAGATCATTGCTAGCTCCATTTTAAGGGTGCAAGCCAAAGCTCTTCACTACAAAAGAGCTGGAGCAGAAGCAGGTACATGGTAGCCACGGTCAAGCTCACCCCGCGACTCAGTGTCTGCCTCCCACGTGGAAAGCCTAGGGCTTTTAAGGATAAAGCACTAAGTACTGGTCCTGTTGTTACAAGATCTGGGTCGTTTGCCGCAAGAGCCAGGTCCAGGGTGGAGAATAGCAACAACTGCTGCATATCTGCATCACGCACATCATGCAAGCACTCAGTATCCCAGTGCAGATGCTACCCAGAACCCTCTGGGAGAAACAAGTGCTATGACTTCTCTCCAGAGGAGGGGACTGGGACTTAGAGCCAAATCAAGTGAGCTGCCCAGGCTTATGTATCTGGTAAGATATAGAATTTGGGTCCGGTTGTGCCTGGCTTCTGAGTTCTAGGCTTGTTGCCAACATACCCTGAAGATTCTAAAATGTTCTAGGGCAAATAAGGGGTATGAATCTGAATAAGGCATGGGAAGGGGGAGTGTTTGCGGATCTGGGACACGCCAAGCTATTCCAGTATTCCAAAGTCTGCTCCGGGATGGAATCCCTTGAAATGCGCAGTGTCGAGATCTTCTTTCTTCCACTGAACTCCTGCCTGACCTCATCTTTCACAAGAAGGGCCCTTCTGGCATTTGCTCACAGAGCTGACACGGGGTAGTGTTGATAAGAATGGTGCTGATGTGGGGGAGGCCATGGGTTAGTAAAAATAACATGTGTCTTTTAATGGGGTCCCCGTGTGTGCCAGGCCACACAGGCTGGACACAATATTCATTTAGAACCACCCCAGAGATAATCAACACTACTCCTGCTTTACAGGCAAGGACACTGAGGCTTAGAAAAATCAAGTTGCTTGTCCATGCTAGTGAACATTTACAACCTAGGTTCAAAGCTTAGTGTGCCTGGGTCCCACTCCGCTGTCACTTGCGACATCCCAGGGGCACCCTGGAGCTAGGATTGGAGTAGGAGGTTAGTTCCTAAACAGTTGAGTATACCTGAAGACTGAAGTTAGCACCCAAAGTGGAGAGGGGGAAGGGAAGAGCCAGGTGTCAGTGCTTGGATGTTAGTTCTAAGATTCGCCATCAGAGAGTCCGTGTTCTCTTCTACCTGGCCAAGGTAAAGGACCCAGCCAACCCATCACAGGTCTATTTTAGGCAGTGCTTTAACTCTGAACTTCCATATGGTACCTCCAACCCAGCAACTCACTTAGTGTGAAGCCCATCTCCCCTGCTGCTGATGGACGGTCACAACAGAGTAAGGAAGCACAGACATCCATGGGTCTGCACGAGCCCCAGCTCTCCACAGTGAGTGACTCAGAAGTTTCATGGACTGCAAATGCCAGCAGACTCGAGAATGCTGACCCAGGGGGCATGGGAAGTGTGTGGGGTGAGAAAGAGGTGTGTATGATGCAATTATATTTTAATTTAAAAAGCCTTAATGGTTATATGAAGAGTATAAATGAAAAATGGGAAACACCCAATGGTCCACCGTCTCTGCTAAAAGAGGACATTAAGTAGCACACTGGCGTGAACTCTGTTAGAAAAAGAAAGATGGCAGTGTGGCTGAAGAGTTAGGAAGAGGTCAAGGTAGCTGTGGTGGGCCAAGGACATCATTCCATAAGCAGCCCTGTGGCAGCATCGTGGAGTTTAAAGCTGCTTATGAATGCACAGTTCTGCAAAGGCCATCACTGTCTGTCCTTGTGTCCCTATGTCTCTCGTGTGCCCATGCATTGCTGCAAGCTTCACACAGTCCTTGAAAATCCAAAATCCTGTCACAGCGCTGGAATGCCCTTGTTGTAAAAGTGCAGGGCTCATGCAAAGAGACCTGGAAAAACCATAGTTGTATGTACCTCCCTGAGGGCTCAACTTCTAGGAAGTCCCCCCCCAAAACATATGACTTCTCACCAACACACACCCATACATATTTATGCAATGCTAGGAGTAGACCTTTGTGTGTGTGTGCACACAAACACACACACATGTTCACATCACCTTGCAAGGAGAAGTATCCCTTGAGAAAGAGACTCTAGCCAAAGGTCTTTGGATAGATTTAGTAAAAATGAAGAAGCATTTGTCTCTCAGGGCCAGTGTAAACTGCCAGATAGCCCACCATTATAGAGGAGCTCTGTTGGCACAGGAGGGTCTGGAATTTTCCATGTAAATGCTGGGTCATCAGGAGGAGAAGCCAGCAGCCACTAAGATCACTAGACACCCACATGGGAAGGGGAGGGGGGGTCTGAGGAAAGGTGACTAGGGGTAGGATAGAGGGGCACCTAGAGGAATATGATGGCCCAAGGCTGAGGGACTAGAATGAGGTGGAGGGGTGTGGTCACTGGATCCTACAGCCAGAAATCTAGACCAGTCTCCCGAGGATGGGCTTCCTTCAGCATTCTGGCCCAACTCTGCTGTGTTCAAGGGGTGAAAATGCACGGAGCAGCTTCCTGGGCCTGCAGCTCAGCTATGGGCTTTCACTGCCTGAGGCTCCCAGCAATACCTAGATCAATACCTAAAATAGCCAGCCTTGGCCCCTGTAACATCCCAGGGGGTGATATCTAACTTCAACAAGCTACCCAAACTCTTACAGAACTGGGCCGCAGTCCTCTTGTAGACATAGTTCAAAATAACAACTCTAGCCACACCGTTAATTAAAACACACCTCCTTTCTTCTTCGACAAGAAACCTCTGCAATAGTTCTGTGAAAAACTCCAGTTTGGAATTCTCAGCTCTTAGAGCTCCTAGACTGAACTCTGCTGGCCAAGGCCTTGAGCTCTCTTCATCCTCCGCTCCATCGGCCACATAAGGGGCCCCTGGCATATACCGGTGGGTTCTTCTGTCCTGTGTCTGAGTTCTGTTCCCGGGCCCCTACAAGCAACAAGGCCTTGCACGTTGTTTAACAGGTCCTTTGGGGTCATTTGCCTAGGAAAACCCAGAGCCAGGTATCTGGGGCGTGGCTGGGCGGAGGGACAGTCCCTCACTCACTTTCATTTTGGCTTAAGAAGACCTTTCGCCTGAGCCTTGATACCCAGGGACAGCTTCTGACAAGACTGGTGACTCTGGCAGAATGGGTCTTCCCCTCTCAGAGGTCGGCGGAAGTAGAATTTGGGAAAGGGAGTTTGGGGGCTACGTCTCCTTCTGCAGCCCCTCTCCTTGCACTGTCACGCCCGAACTTGACTTGTCCTTGTGGAATCTGGTTCCCATCTCCCCCGTTCTAGTCTCTTCAAGAGAAATAAACCTGAAAGTGTTTGGGATGCTCAGAGTGATGTCGCTACAAGAACTGTGACTCACAAAGAACTGAGTACGACCTCACCTTCCGCATTTGAAATATAGTATATCATGAACTTTTAGAATATCTACAGCGGACTACAACTCCCTAGAGACAGGAATTTTCTTCCACACATTTCTGCACTAGGGGTTGGTATTAACCAATGAGTTTCTGTTTGAGAAACAGGTCTCTGCGGTGACTCAGATGGTGGATGCCACTAATGGAAGCCCTGGGCCTTCTCCACTGGTCCTAGAATTTAATCCTCATGTAGGCAATAGGACTTGAGACTGCAGGGCAAGATATGCCATTTTTCTCCATTAGGCCCCTCTTGCTTGGGAACAGCCCTTCAGCTCCTTCTGGCTAGCTCACAGTACTGGGCCACTAGCTGATAACCAGCCCAGAGCAGTACCTTCAGTTGGGAGACAGGGTGCCAATAGCTATGGTACTTACTCCATAGCTCGAGCACCATGCTGCTTAGCTCCTTGTACATCTGAACTAAATAATAAATGTCAGCCAAACAAGGTCCATATGTGGATGTTGCTGTGTCCTAGCTAGACATGAAAGTATCAAGCTGAGAAACTCCTGATGTCTATATAAGCGCTACCCTTAAAAGTGTTGTTGCGGATCCCAGGCACTTGGGTGGTGAGGGAAATATACCGGGAACTCAGAATCCTAGCATCTCACGCATCCAGAGTGGCACACTATAGACTGTCTGGACACGGGCAAAGCTCAACTTTTGTCTCCTAAAGGTGCTATGCTATGGACCCAGGCTTAAGGAGCTCTCTTTGGCCTTATCTCCTCCATGAATTTTTTTCCAGAATAAAGTCTGCTTGTTTCAGAATCAGGAACTCATCTTACACCTATGTTCATCACATAACCAGCATCATCAAACACATCAAAATGGTAGCATTTCTACTCAGCCCATAGTATGTGACATTATCCCAGGTACTTTATATTGTCTGATGTTATCTGGCCCTATAGAAAGGGCTAAAAATTAAACCCTTTATTTTCTGCACAAGAAAACTGAGGGTTAGAGACACCATATGGCTTGTCCAACGCCACTTCTCTAGCATATATCAGGCTCTGATTCAGAGCTAGGTATGCTCAAACTTAAAAATCCACAGTCGCCACAGGATCCAATGCAGAGCGTCATACACAGAAGGCAATCCACAAGGCACCACCTCCAGGAAGAAGTACTCAGTTACCTACGTATTTGTTCCTTCCCAGAGGCCAGCACAGACCCAGTCTCGGGTTCCAAGGGAACCCTCTGGAACTTACAGCCTGTCATCCCAGCAGCTGGTCTTCAGGAAGGTGTTCAGGCAGGCTGATTTTGACAGTAATTCATTCATAAAATATTAGCCAAGGGCATAAACTATTGGCACTTTCATCAGTTCAAAACATTCTCCCGTCTGGGCCAGGATAAACACTCAGACTTGGAGAGTTCTATGTTAACACTGGCCCTGAAGAACACAAAGACCCAGGGCCAGGCTGCTAAAGGGCAGGGTGATGAAGCCTGGCTTGTGTCCAGCTGTAGTCAGGGTTATTGGGGGAGCAGGGAACTGTGGGGATCATCTAAGACTGGATCACTTTATAGCAGTAATTTTGATGCTTGAGGTTACAGTGAGTGGCAGGGTTGGAATTCAAACTCGGGTCTTTGGCTTCTTCTGGGATTCAAGAAATACCCGTCTCCTCGACTTTTCTGGAGCTGAATTCAGAATTACTGAAGGAGAATGGACTCGCAAAAAAAAAAACAGTATAAGGTCTCAGGGGAGATTAAGACCTGCAGGGGCAGCTGAGCATCCCCTGGAACAGAGATTGGCATACTAAAAATCAGACGGCTGTTCTCCCAGATGAAGGGCTATACCATCCCCAGACCAATTGCCAACCTCATCACCAGCCGTGGAAATTCACTGGTGTAGCTCTTCCCGCTCAGTCAGTCTAGCAAGGGCTTCCGCAGCCCAGCCTCAACTGCATCTTACCCTTATCTCTCCTGGCTTGCCCTCCAGCCAGCCTAAGTTCCTCTTCTGCGAAGCCTGTCCCAGGTAGATGCTAAAATACTGTTTTGCTAAGCCCTCCCTGGCCAGCGAAGCTGAGTTCCAAGCAGAACTCACTTGCCCTGAGTCACTGCTCAACAGCTCCTCCTGAAACCTCTACAGCACCAGTCATTCTCCCATCCCTTTCCTATAGGATCCTAGCGATAACGATAGAGTAGCAGGCACACTAAGGCCTATGCCGTGCTAACTCTCCACACGCACGGGGGCATTTGGTCCTTGGCCCTCCTCTTAGCTGAGCAACATTATTGGACAGGTAAGGAAACAAAGGCCTAGAGAGTTGCCCAAAGTCATATGTGTTAGAAACTGGAGTCTATAACTTCACAGCCAAGACTCCTAATGTCTAGGCTGCACCACACACACACACACACACACACACACACCATCATCATCATCTCTAACACATCACTGTGTTAGTTCCTGCCATGTTTCTGCCATGGTTTGTGAAACTGGCAATGAGTCTCTGAGAGCTGGAGTTATTTTATTAATATATTTGTTCAATTACAAGTGTGTAGGAACCTTCAACCACATTCCTAGGATTTGAACCTTATTGGAGATTCTGAACTAAGCCTGTTCCCTCAGCTTTCTCCAGTCCACTTTGGAAACAGGGCCACAAAAGACAAATTATAGAACAACTCAGGCTTGGCCACTCCAGAACCAGGATACCGGAGAAAGGAAAATTTAGTCAGTTTCAATGAAAACTTTGTATCTGATAAATTTGCTATACTTTGTCCCAGGAATCCAGCACACAGCAGCACAGCAGGTGCATGCTCTCTCTCTCTCTCTTGCTCTCGCTCTCACTCCCTCCCTGCAACATGGCAGTGGCCATGTGGACACAGCGTCAGCAAGAGCCCTGGAATATTTATCTATTCGGCACATGTGGCAAGCTGGCCATCTGTGTTGCCATTTAGTTTCAATGGCATATAGCAATAGAAAGGATGGATCACAGCATGTCAATGACGACTTCTGGAAATCAATGCTCCCAGCAGGCAGAGTGGTGACTTACACATCCGGGTGACCCCTGCAGGGACTAGCATTATGCCTTACACTGAGCTAATCCAGAGAAATATCGTTGATTAATGACAGGGCATCTGGTGTCTAGGGACAGGCCATCTCAGACAGTCACTAAGGACATGCAACTGTCCTAAGGGCTTCCAATTTGTCATTTATTCGTCATCTCTCTCTTTGCTACAAATATAGAAAATCTACCTTTTTATGTTGTTGCTACCATTGGCCCCCAAAGGGCCAGAATGCTCAAATGCTCAAATCTGCTGAGAGTCCCTGGTAGGTCGTCAGCCACGAAGTGTGGAAAAGTTTCACCTTCAGGTTGTATTTCTCTTCCTTAGCTTTCCCTCTCTGCCCAGCAACTATGGATCAGAGTACTGAGCCAGAAGAGTAGCAAGGGCCACCAGGGACCAGGAAGCATCTCCTGACATTTGGGACTTTTGTCCCAGCTTCCTTATCTGGAGTATCTAATGATGACAGACCCATGTCAGGAAGGGAACACGGGGCTGCTCTCCAAATTGGTTCTAGCTTTGATTCGCTTTCTCAGTGAGAGTTGATGCTTCTATATGCAACAGGATCAACTCAGAGCCACGTGCTCGTTTTGGTGACCACACCCTTTTTTTTTTTTTTTTTTTTTTTTTTTTTTTACAAATACTGGGTATTTCTTATCCCAAAGCAAGTGTCCAGAGAGCACACAGAAACACAAAGTTGTGCATCTTGGACTCTGGGAGTCACACACTCCTCCCAAACCCTGTAAATTGTCAGCCTGCCTCCAACTGACTTCCCTTAAATTCCAAGTCGGAACTCCTACAAGGCAAGGTGTGGCCTTATCTTGTAGTACCAGGGATGGCCCAATGTCTTCTTCTAGAAGCTAGAGTCCCTGGGTTCTGTGCAGGGCACTCCTGAACTTCCATCTCAGTAAAGATGATGGGGACCAGGGTGGCTTGGGCATCTTAGGCTCCAAGCCCTTCAGGAAGGAGCTCAAGGCTGCTTCCACGGGACTGTATGTGACCTCTGTGCTCTCATTCCAGGGCTGATGGGAAAATGACAGCTCATCAAAAAGAGGGCAAAAGAGCTCGGCTGCTGAGTGTCTTCTCCAGGTTCACCTGTAGCCCACTCCATAATGTAGTCAGAGCCTGTAAAACTGAAGAGGACACTCCAGGCTCCCAGGCCTCCTGTCTCAAGGCCCAGCTCAGTCATTGGCATCTAGTGGCCTAAGTTCACAAAAGCTATGTGCACTTACCTCTGTCGCCCTCCGGAGATCCAAGGGCTCTAATTTTACCCGGCCTAGTGTTCGAGCCCCAAAGCTAAGAGTGCTACAGGTATTGCCATCTTGTGTCTGGCTGGAACATCCCAAACTCTTGGGGATTCCTTTCAAGATCTATACCCCTTTACCTGCGGGGGCCAGCTTTGACTCGTGTTCCTCACCCGACCAGGTGCCCCGAATCTATCCTTGAGCCTCTGTGCCTACCACTCTCCAAGATCCTGCCTAATCAATTCCCCTAATGGAAAGTATTCTGATCCTATTTTCTGGCGCCCTAAAGAGTTCTTTCCCAAACACTAAATTTGTTCGTGCGTCTCTTCTCCATGGGTATCCCTGCTCCCCTCCCTCTGCTACAAGAGCAAGCAGCCTCCCAACTCCAAAGCCTCAGTCAACCCTGCGCTCACCACCACCATTTTTGTAGCAGAGATAGGGGAAGCGCCACACGTTGGCCAGGTCCACTGCGAAGCCGACCACAGACAGTAGGAAATCGATCTTCTTGCCCCAAGTCTCCCGGGGCTGCGCGTCACCGTCCTGGGACGCCAGGAGGCACTGGACGCCGTTGCGCTCCTTCACCACCAGCAGATCCGCGGTTTTGCAGGGCCGTAGGGGCTGCTCAGGCAGCGGGTCCGCCCCGCCGAGCTCTGGCTGCACCTGCGGGTTCATTCGCGCCAGAAGCATGGGTGCGGCTGTAGAGAGGGACTTCGGAGGCACACCAAAGTTCTGCTTGTATAAAAGGGAAAAAAGTGGTCACCAGGGCTTGCAGTCTCTTTGCTCCAACCGAGACCACCCAGGGGAACCCAGAACGTCGGGATCCGTGAGCTGATCGGACTCCGGCTTCCTCTAGAAAAGGGAGCACATGTGTTGGAAAAATTTGGAGACAGAGGTTGTGACGCGCGTCCGACTGGGACAGAACTCATAGGTGGGAACCTCCTCGGGCCGCCCTGTGGGTCGGGCTAAAGACCCTGTCGACTCTACCTGGGTCATTCTCCGCCTCTACCCGCCCCCCCCCCCACCCGACCCCACATCCCTAAATGGCAAGTTTCTTGCGGGCCCTGCAGGCAGGGCCGGTGTCTACTCGTGGTCCCGTCCTGCTTCGGGGAGGCGGAACCCAACAGCCCTGGGAGCCTTCGGGACACTAGTGGGTGCAGCCGTTCGCGAGGTGCTTCGGAGCCGGCCCCACACTTACCGGTCTCGCGCGCAGGGCGCACTCACGTGGTGGGCGGCACGGGGATCGCAGGCGCCAGCCCAGGCTGAGCTCCGCCGCGTGGCACTCAGGCGGGGCCCCGGGAGCGCTGCGGGCGCGGGGCAGCCGGCAGGACACGGGCTGGCTGGCTCTGGCCGCGCCCGGAGGAGGCCGACCTGGTAATGTAGACTGTGCCCCAGGTAACGCGCCTATTGCATTAGCCCCGCGCCCAGCCCGCTCGGTCTGGAGCCTGTTAGCACTAATGCAGACTGACAGCGTGGCCCGGACTGGCAGAGGCGGGGGCGCAGCTCCCACGGGCTCCGGGGTGGCGGGAGCCGGACTCTAGAGGACTCGTGAGAACCTGGCTCACACTCTCCGTGTCTCTCTTCAGCAGGAGTAGCGCACGCGGTTCCCAAAGACACCTGGCTCTGGCCTGTGAGCAAAGGAAGAGGGCAACAAACTCCCAGAAGTGGAATCTATGTCTTCAAAGGGGGGCTGGAAAGAATAGGGAGAGCAGCCACCACCCTAGCGACATCAGCGCTGTCATTCACTCAGACCACTTAATCTACTTGGTGAGAGTTTTCTCTACCAGCAAAATTGGAACTCGGTGCTCCAACTGAGCGCTGCGACCGGTGGCTGACAGGCTGGGCAGGGCGCGGCCCTTGGGCAGTTTTTTTTTTTTTTTTTTTTTTTTTTTTTTTTTTTTTGTCTTTTTTTTTTTTTTTTTTGGTTTTTTTCTTTTTTTTTTTTTTTTTTTTTTTTTTTTTTTTTTTTTTGGCCAGCTCAGCTTGTTGAAAGGTCATGGCCCAGAATTTTACTCTTGACTCTCTTTGTGACCAGCAGGCTAACAGGCTTTGGAGGTTGTGACCCTGTTCTCCTTGGAGTCTACGACCCAATTCTGTAAGGCTGAGCCCTGATACTCATCCCTATAAATGCCTCCTCCTAAGTGCCCAAGTTAGCCTTTTTAGTCTCCCACAAGTGGGCAACACCTTCAAAGAGCTGTTTGTTCAGTCCCAGAAGCAAGAGGAAAACAGGAAACACAATGAATAAACACATATGATGAGGGAGAAGACTGGTGTGGTATGGGCTGGTGTGGGTAAAGCAAAGGAAGGGGATGGATGAAAAGAGCAGGGCTGCGATTTCAACAGCATCTTCCGTCGCGTTTAAGCGTGAAATACTTGGACCGCAGAGTTATTTATCCAACTTCTGCCTGCGTCTAAAGACACCCAGCTAGGAGAGCCATGGAGACAGTCACTGATACCCAGGAGTTCCCAGTCCAATGTGTAAAGAGTCTACTGCCGTCTGGGACTGGCTGTGGCCATTGGAGAGAAGGAATTTGGTGACGCCAAATCAGTAAGGGCAGCAGGCAGGAATGTAGGGACGACACTTAAACAACACAGGAAGAAATTTAGATAAGCTTAGTCACACCTATCCTTCCATGCTTCCAACATTCCAGGCTTAAAGCTACCCCAGGGTCTTTGCAATTGCTCTTGCTTCCATCTGAGTTATTCAGGTCTGAGTGCAGAAACTCCTTCTTAAACTCTTGCATCTAAAAATTCGCCCCCCCCTCCATTGTCCACCAGATCACTGACCTAACTAAAAAATTAATTTCATCTCTTTTTGAATGGCAGTTGAGCTCCAGAAGACCAGAGGCATCGTCTGCCCTACCCGTACCTCTGGCACCTGTAACTCACTAACACCGCCTGGCACATACCATGAGTGAATGAGAGAGTAAATGTACTGCCGATACATGGGACTGTTCAGATAATTTTCACACACAGGGCCAGCAATGCAGGTATCCTGTGGAGAGGATGCAGAGAGGAGAGAAGAGCTGCCCAGAGGGTGGTAGGTTCACTTTGATCCCTTGGGGACTGAAGACAGGAAGCAGGAGATTAGGCAAAGGGTGGACCTGAGGCTTCAGGATGAGAACTGGAGAGTACAGGTTCCCTGTCATCAAAGGGTCATCCGTGACAAGCCAGTGAGAAAGAACACACATACTCCGAGGTTCAAGAGACCAGTCTGAGGTCCCACATGTCAGAGGTATCAGAGCTGGAAGGGAAACCCAGGTCTCACGGTCCTCATTTCTGGTCTCTTCACTTACGATGGATGACGACATCTGAATCCCTCTAGCTGGCCTGTCATGCTCCCCTCTGCTCCATCAAGCTGGTCATCAAGCCCTGATACTCTCCTCTCTGCCTGACAATGAAGCCCTGCCAATCCTCCTGAAGCCCAGGGGATTCTCATCACTCCCTGTTGCTCACCTTAAGCCCCTGTCTTTCTAATCACATAATCATACCCAGCTGCCAGATAAATTCCTGAAACTCAAGCCCAACACCTCACCTGAAATCCCATGGAGACGTACCAGAATGACTGAATGAGCCATAGATTTAAATTAATCTCATTTTCTCCTTTACGCCACTTGGTATCTATCTGCCCAGTTTTCTACAGTGAGTATTTGATACTTGGACAATCGGAAAAAGATAACTCACAATTTCCAAAGATACTCCTGTCTCTCCAAGATAAACAGCATCAGTGGTGCAAACAAAATTCCACTTGTCCATTTAACCATACTTTCTGCCATTAATCCTCTCCTCTTTTTCCCTAAGCCTTTCTCCCTCTTTCAAGACATGCTTGCTGGACCAGGGGAGGTTGCTCAGTGGTTATAAGTACTTGCAGCTCCTGGAGGGGACCAAGATTCAGTTCCCAGCACCCACAAGACAGTTCACAACTATCTGCAACTGCCTTCCAGCCTCCACAGATACTGGGTGTGTATATGATGTTCAGACATACATGCAAGCAAAACACTCATATACAAACAGTAAAAATAAAATAAATCTTCAAAATATATTTTCTTCTCTAGCAACATAGGTGATACTCAAGAACAAGTATTATAGTTTTATGTCCCGCAGAATTTTTAATATGCTCTTTCCATCCTTTTGTCTATTGGAGGAATTCCTGTTCAGCCTCCAAAACCTCTAAGACCAACCCCAATCAATACTTTCCCTGACAAGCAGTGTTCACGAAAGTCAGATCTCCTTTTTATAGGGCTTTTGAGCATTTGTCTGGTCTAGTTATTTGTGTAACTTCCCTAACCAGTCTGAGAACAGTATCTAACATAACCTACTACATAGCCAGCTAGCACTGCAAAAACTCATACCAACAGAAGTAGAAGAGAACTATCTTGTTCCTTGCTTTGGGATTAATTTATGTTGGAGTCATCCAGAAGCCGAATTTGAAACAAAGGTCAGAATAAGTGAGGGAGGGAACTTCTGGGAACGCTTTAGAGAATTGAGCAAGCAAGACAGGAAAGGATGTAAGACCAGGAGAAGGTGGGTTAAAGAGTAGCTCAAGGCAGGGACTGCTGGTGTCATCCTGCTGGGACTTCAGAGGCACAGTACATGCCTTGGAGCTGTCCCGGCAAGAAGAGAGCTAGGAGGTTTACCCATGAAAACTGCTCCCAAGTATTGACTCCTCCAGTGCTTCCTGTCTAGCCTAAGACAAGCCTGTGTCTGCTGCCAAAGAAGGGTCTCAGCAGAGCCCCAGGTCCTGGCAACAGAGAGCATCGGGGCGGGGTCTGCACTGAGAACAGAGTGAATGACGAGGAGGATGGGCAGGACCCTGGTAGTGTCTGTCGCCAGGGTGGGGAGAAGCATTCCCCTAACTACACAGACATTATCAGAAGGCTAATTGGCGAGTTCTCAGAGTTCCCCCTGTGGCTTCCAAGACATCTGGGGGACACAGCTGGCCTGAAGGAGAAGGCGTCTCCCTCATCTCCGGCCCAGACTCCCTGCTTATGGTTCTAAGGGCCATTGGGGCCATGTGGCTTCTCTCGTGCTCTCTGCATCCTGCCCCACCAGTTGGCCTGAGGGCAAGTGGTGGGCAGGAGGCTGGAGTATTATCAGAGCTAGCATGGTCTCAGGGGAGGCGTCACTTCCACTTACCATGGCACTTGGTGACACAGGCCATGGGAAGCAAAGCGATAGCTGGTGCTGTTAGTCCATCTTTGGTCATCTCCCTGCAGACACCAGGCCTTGACAAACAGAGGTTGGGCTGGAGTGTATCTAGAATCCAAGAAGCTGAGTCCTGAGGGCTCTCTCGCAGTCTTTACCTCCAAGGCACCATAGGGATAATTAAGGCAAAAGAGAAAGGGAAGTCTACCTGTCTGTTTTCTCTCCTTGCTCCCTCCCTCTCTTCCTGCTTCTTTGCCTCTACCTCTCCCCCCCCACACACTTCTTTCCCTTTCCCTTCCTCCCCCATCTCTCCCCTCTCTCCTTTCTCCCATTAGGATATTAAATCTCTTTCACTGAAGCTGGTCTGCCCAAGGTTATTGGTCATTGGTCTAAGTCCTGTTCTAAATATAAATAGCATAACATGTCCCCTCAATACAAAACCCACAGGAGCTGAAATCCATCTCCACCAGGGTACTTCCCACTAAAAACCCCTTGAGGTTTCTGAAACTTCTTATCTAGAAAGTTATGTCTCAGTCCTTGATGTCTGCTCTGTTGGTTACTAAGCTCAGCAGACCCCCTATAGTTATTGCCATCAGAGAGCAACTGACCCCTGTTGACCTCCACATTTATACCCTCCACCTGGGCCTCTGCTCTGGGTTCCAACACTCTGGGTTCAACTATAGTCTATGCAGCTCTACCTAGAAAACCAGAAGTGTGGAACTGGTCATGAGCAAATCAGATGCCCTGATGCCGCCTCCCTGACTTAACACATAAGCTGCTCCTCCACAGTTGCCCTCAGCTCAAGTTACAAGGGCTCCCTCTTTCAGGCTCCTGAACCACTGAGCTTGGAGTCAGCCTTAGCTCTTCTTGCTCTCGTCTCTAACCCTGCACAGCGCCTGTGAACTCTAGATCATGTGACATCTCTGCACCTCGGAGGTGACTTCCCAGTCCCAAGTCATATCATCTCCTGTCAGGATGTCTGTGACAGTCTCCAAGTGACCTCCCTGCTTCTCCCAGTTCTCTGCGACCTGAATCTTCTAGAACTTCCGGGAAGACATTCTGGCAATATGTTCATGCCTCGTTATCCGCACTCTCTTCCTCCGATGGCTCCTGTCTTATTTGGGACAACATCTAAAGTTTTTCCCTAACCAATGAAACTTGCTTGTACTCATCTGGGGAAGGCCTAC